AACGCTCAAGTAAAAAAGCGCGTGTCGAGTTTGCTTCGGTCGGATGCTTTTTTCCCTGCATGTCCCTGTAGGCTTGAAGCAGTGATCAAGATTCTAACCTTCTGGCAAAGGTAAGGGATTTTCCAAATCCAGTGAGCAGCGGGCTTGTCACCATTGTGGCAAGGTTGGTCATTTGCAGAAAGACTGCTGGCAGAAGGGTCAGGTCCGACAGATTGACGAAGCCCCGACCACGTTCTGCTTGTTCAAGTGAGCAGTGAAGTCCGGCTTGTAGTGGTAGTGGACATCACCGCTTGTTGCGCCCTGAGGCACGTTGAGCTGCAGTGGGGACACGCCCGCGCACGCATTTTCCACGAGTAAGTTAAAGGTCAGTTGCACTGCTCCTAGCTTGAACCTATACAACCCCCCACAAAGGACAAACGACACCGGCGCGCACCTTTTGACGGGTTGCTTGGGAGGTAGCACCTCGACCTGGGCACGCGTTGCCCAGAAGGGGCGAGTTCTTCCCCCGTGAAGCGGGAATGCAAAACATGCGTGTCCTTGCTAGTGGTGTGCTAACGCGGAGTGCGGCATGCGTGACACTCAACGCAGACCGCGGGTCTTGTGGTGCCGGCCGGGCCGCGGGCCCGGCGGATTACGGACTGGGACCGCGAACGTCTGGGACACGTTGCAAGCACTGGAGCTGGCAGGTGTTGAAGAAAATAAAGACACATCCTTTTTCCGCCTCCGAATTTGGAATCGGCCACCGTTGTAGTTAACGAGTAGGATGCCGAATGGAAAACGAATAGGATATCGAGTACCAGTTAACCGCAAACAGCGACCCATCGCCATTCGGCGCCCAGCCTCAGCCTCAGCGTTCAATCCCACCCCGTCCCCGAATGTCAATGTTATCGTTTTGGTGCAGCGGCCTGTCGCAATGTTGAAGGCGGGGGGGTGAAGAGGGGTGGTTTCACCGAGGGACGAAATTTGCAACCCTGCACTTGTCAGTCCGTGATTGGCTGCAAAACGATGCCGCTCCAGAAAAGGGCCTCCGCGGTGCTCGCCTGTGCATGCGTTTTAGTCAACTTGTTCTTTGCTTAAGTTGGCTGGATCGCAACTTTGGACAATCTCTTGTGTAGGAGGTCTCGTGCGGGCTAATTGTGGCTGGAGATTTTGACAAGTTGGTGGCTTTCGACAGCTTTGCCAACGCAGGAGATGGCACAAAGTCGCCGTTTTGACGCAGCTGTCTGCTGCTTTTTGTCTTGTCTGACCCGTGCTTGGTTGCTGCTTTTGTGGTTGTTTGAAGCCCCGTTTTTTGTGGTTTGGTTTGTTTGGGCTCTTTGTTGATTTCCGCAACCTTGCTCCACCGCGCTGGGGCTGTGGTATTTGTGGGTGGTTTTTCAGAATTGTACATTGCGGACCGTCGTCATCGACAGTGGCTGCGAGGTTCAACAAGACATAAATGCCGCTTCGATGGGTGGAGTCTCGGGAGGTTTTGCTTCGCGTCATGTCCTCGTGACGGTTTTCGTCATCCCAAGCCGCTTGATCATTTCCAGTGACAAATTTTATGAAAGAACAAATTTGGGATGTGCCGCCCCTGAAGTTCAGTAGACGCGGATCCAAATGTTACCTTCCGGAACGGGCCACGAAAACAGGAGCTTTTTGAGAAAATCGCAATTGATGCGGATACTCGCCCTCCGATCTCGGTAGATGTCATGCCCAAACCTGACCTTTCCGGTGGAGCGCGCTCTACAGGGAGAAGTGGGTGGCCTGCATCTGCAGCTGAAGCAGCTTCGCAGATTGACAGGCGCAACTCTGGGCCGAAAGTCAGAGTTCATGAATTGGCTCGACAAAATTCAAAATCCGGTTGCAAGTTCGTCCTCAGATCCCAACACTGGGGAAACAGGGCGTTGTGTTCGCTTTTGGAACACGAAGGGCTACCGCGAAGGGGAGGTGGTCTGCTTCCCGGATTGCTCTTTCGAGAACGTTATTTTGCAAGTAATGTCCAATTGCTTGGTTTTTCGGCATGCGGTCACGATTCATCTCACGCGGGGCAATGAAGCCCGCAAGATTCTAACGTAAAACGAAGATTTCGCTTCTGAGTGCTTCGCGGGCTGGAACCAGGAATGGCAGGCGCCAGACTTCTTGAAAGATTGCCGAGCATTCTAGAGTTCCAGGTGTCGGACATTTCGATAGAGTACTCTACCAAGACCAAATCAATGGTTTTTCAGTGATCGAACTGAGGCTTCTGCCGGGTTGCGTTGTGCACACTTTTCTTGAGCTGATTTCCCACATTGAGAGCCCGGGGATTTGGGCGAGACGTCTCTCAGTGTCTTTTTTCTTGCGTGAAGCTCCGGGGCTGGTCGCTTGGAAATAGATTCGCCCCATTACTGTGCTTACGATTCTCTACCGGCTCGTCAGCAGAATCAGGATGCAACCGTGTCCGCACGGGCATTGCGACTAATGGAGTAGTTTTTGTTCATTGGCTGTGGGTATCGGAGTACATTCAGCGCTCCTTTGATGAAGCGCAGCCTGCTTCAGGGTTGTGATAGACTTGATCAAGGCATTCAGACAGAGTCACCAAGCAGAGAGCCAGATTTTGCCGGGGCGAACCCAGTTTCAGCGTCTTCGCAGGTTAAACGAAGCGATCAATTTCAAGTTGCTTGTGTTGTGTTGAAGATAGGCATATTCACCAAGGCGCTACACGCGGTCGAGAATAACACCAAGAAACTTCGCGCCAGACTGCGGATAGCCTCCATTTCGCGAGTGGTCGGAGCCCACACTTAGCCACGGCGATGATGCCATGTGGTGTCACAGATCCGGAGTTTCTGATCATTCTGCAACGGATTGCAACAATTCGCGCAGTTGTGCGTTTCGTGTCAGGAGTGGTTGTGACCTCACCCAAGAGAACATGTTGAACACCAAAGGCAGTGCTCCCTCCCGGCCATTTTCAATTCTGCTTTCGGCAAAGAAGTTATTTCCTCACCAACTTCGCACACTTGCGTGATGCACTTCAGGACGCTTGGTGGATTCGCATTACCCCGTGCGTCAGGCACCGCAAATTCCTTTCCGAGCGGGAGATGGGCAACCCATTCGCCCCCAAACCAGTTTCTATAAAACTCTTGTTTCGGCAGCCAACTACACCATGGATTCTGTGAAGCATTTTAACAATGACACAGCTGGCGGGTGCCTATGGCGCGGGTCGGAAGATTCTGGACTGCACAGTGTCAGAATCATGCTGCTATTGTCTCCATTCTTGACACCTAGAAATGGATGTTTAACATTCACGAAGGTCTTAACTCTATTTCTTGCCCGAGAAACATGGCCATGCCACCCTTTTTCAATTATTCTAGCCGTCCCAGGACATGGCGCACACGGCGCACACAGCGCACACAGCGCACGAGTTTAAACTTTGAGCCAACGCCCAAGAAACCAAACTAACTGGCCTTGAAGAGTCGCACTTTGCGCTTTCTTGCGAGACGTCCCTCCTGTTGGTTCTTTTGGATGGCTTCGCAAGCGCTGCTTCAACTTATCCCAAGCAAGATCAGAAGGCACACTTTAAGCTTTTTTCACCTTGCGGCATAATGAGGAATCCAATGAAACCCACTGCGGCATCCAGCGAGTCCAACGAACGGGGCCCGCAACCCGCAAACCGAACAAGGGGCGAAACTCCGAACCAACCGTCCTGAGGAAAACATTACGTGAGTTAGCCGCATTCGGGAGTCAGCACCGGCGGCGCGAACTGCCCTCCGTAACCGCTTACTTGGATGCTTGCGTCCTCTTTCGGGTCCTGATTTTCCAACGCGCACATCAGTTGGGGGTTCCAACGCGCAGGTCTGTTGGGGCCCTCCTCCGGCCCTCCTGGGGCGGGCCCTGCACCCCGTTTGGGCTTTACAAACATTCTGGAAGACGGGCAGGGGGGGAGGGGGGGAGGAAGGCACCAAGATGCAAAACTACTCACGCGGGTTTAGCATTGTGCTCCCAACGCTTTCTCAAACGCAAGACAGACGCAAACTTCTCAAACGCAAGACGCCGCAAACAAAAGCTGCGCCACGCGAAGGCGAGCGGACCTGTGCGTTGGAAAGGACCCAGGAAAACCCGCGCAATTGCAACGAGGGCCTGAGCCGGACCTGCGCGTCGGAAATAAGGGCCCGAAGACCTCAGGACCCGGGAAATGAGAAGACGCGAGGATGCGAGAGTTAGACGAGCGTTGAACATGTGGACCCGCGCCTTGGACATGAACAGGGCCCGAGACCCGAGATGACACGTCGGACATCATGTCCCGAACACACCCGAAACTGAAACGGACCCGCGCATTGGAGAAAAGTGAGACGAGGGACAAGACCCGCGCGTGCCCGACAAGAAAGTGGAGAAGGGCCCAAGCAGACCAGCGCGTGAGTTAGAATTTGTGTTGTGCCACAGGCTCTGCGGCCGTCTGCAGTTGAGTAGCCAATGTTCCTGGTCCACAGTACACAACTCGCTAAAGGAGCGTTTGCTAGGCAACAGGTGACCGGGAGGAGTGGGCGTTCACTGACAAACTCAAGGAAGATGCAACAGCGCCAAGCAAGCGAGCAATGCCGCATCGTGTCCCCAAACGTTAGCAGGTGGTTCGGTTTTTCGGTTTTGTAGCTTTTGACAGAGGCGTGGGTTTCTAACGACACTCAGAATCAACTTAAACAAACAGCGGCCCGTGCCAAACATCCCTAAGCAAGTCTTGATTGCTCCTCACCCGATAGCAACGGTGAACAACAACATGACATTTGTGCAGGCTTGCTGTGATAGATTAGCGCCAACCATGATGTAGGGCCTGGGTTTTGCAGAGCATGGGGGCCCGTTGAGCGGTTCATGATGGTCTCCCTTCCATTTGTCCTTCCAGACCTTCAGGGTTGCGTGCATTGTGTATGTTTCATGATTCATGCCCTTTGCCTTTTTCCACAAATACAAGGCGAACCAGGAAAACTTGACAGACTCGGTTTTGTAAACACGAACGCGAAACGACAGGGGTCGAACCTGCCATGCGTGTCAGACGAGGCTCAATCGGAGCGTGTCAATGGAGTTGCCGACGGATCGAGAGGCCAAAGGGCTCTCTCCCATGCTTCCTGGCCGAATGTCGGAGCAGCAGGAGGCCACCATGAAGCTTTGTTATGCCGCCGCGGCAGGGGATCCGGTTGCAGTGTCGGCTCTGCTGGTGGCTGGCTATGATGCAGATGCCGCAGATTATGCAGGCAAGACCCCGTTACACATCGCCTGCACCGTGAATAGCACCGGCTCCAGGGAGGTGGTCAAGGTTTTGTTGGAGCATGGCGTGCGTGTGAACCGATTGGATTCGCTGGGCCAGACGCCATTGGACATTTGCCTGCGCGCTCGGAATTTTGAGATGTGCCGTCTTCTGGAGGACTATGGAGCCAAGGTTCAGAGGGAAGAGCTGGAGTTCAAGGCCCGAGAAAGCTTCTGGCTTCTGCATCCCGAAGACATCAAACTGCGGAAACAGATCGGGAAGACCCTGAAGAGCGCAGTGCATTTGGCCACCTGGCGAGGGACCAGGGTGGTGGTGAAGTGTGCCAAGTTGCACCACACCTCCGTTGTTCGAAACATGGCAAAGTCCAAGAGTTGGGTACCAGGAGCGGGGAGACTTGGCGATTGGTGGGTTTTCAAGCGTGGAAACAAGAGGAACGCCCAAGTGGTCATGAAATTGCACGGTTGGGACACCCGCATGGCTGGCTGACATAAGCCCACCCCACATGAGTATCGCTCCCGTAAGAAAAGCACGGCTCTTGGCTCCAAAGACAGGTGCGTTTCCCTGAGGTCTGGATTGCTTGTCCCCCACGGTGACCCTGGAGCTGGACGAGGAGGAGACATCACTTACTTGTTTTCTGACTGATTTGTACAGCAGCCACACCGAAGAAAAAAAACCTCCAGGAGCTGATCACAGAGGAGCTGCTGAAAGAGATCCAGATGTTGGCCTCGCTGCGGCACCCGGACCTTGTGCTCTTCATGGGCGCCGTGCTGGAGCCGAACAAAATCCGACTGGAAGTCGACTCGAAAGGGACTCGACATGTTTCTGAAGGTCACCGGACATGTGATATATATATATGTATATATATATACATAAATGTATACACATATATATATATATATACATATATATGTATGCATATTTGTTTCAATACAGCTTTTGTTCTAGGGGGTCCTTGAAACCGCCATCTTGAGGGTTTGCAGGATGTCTTCCATGCTGAACATGAAACCAAGAGCAAGAGGAAATCCGAAGTTGCAAACGGTGTGGTGTAAAGGGAATAATGTTGTTTCCCGGTGAGATTGTGAGACAATCCTCGCCAAATGGAACCCCAAACGAATAGGAACTCCTAGTTGGCAGATAAATGGGGTACGGGGTAAATTGCCGACATAGCCGCCAATTGTTTGAAGGCAACCTATATCATGCTCAATTTGCCCTAAACAAAACCACAAGGGAGTGGGCCTCCCTGAAGAGTGTGGTCCCTTTGGAAGCAAACCACATCTTCAAGGAGGCCTAAAGAGGGTGGGTAAGTTTTCGGTGTTTTTTTCTACTGTTCGTTTTGCCCGCGAAAAGAAGGTCAGTTCGATCAATTTTCCATGCTGAACGTTGGGCCCTGACAACCTCGCCACTGTCGTTCTTCCACGGGACTGGAATATTTGTGTGTATTACTATAGTCAACACAAGCGTTAAACGTGGTGGGTGGAACCCATCGGAACTGGGGTGCAACTGTACGGGAGTCAAAGGCTTACCTTGAATAATGTTCATCAGGGGTCATCTGTACAGAAAAGCCACAAAACACTCACGGCAAAAAAACAGATTCACGATTTCACCCAGTTTGTAGCAACCCCCTCAAGCAAAACAGCCCAAATGGACAAGATATTAATACTTAGTACCTTTATCTCGTCCTTGAAAACAATTTTTACCATTCTCTCTCTCCCTCTCTTTCTCTTTCTCTTTCTCTTTTTCTTTCTCTCTCTCCTCTCTCTCTTTCTGTTTTCTCCTCTCTCACTCTCTCTGTCTCTGTCTCTGTCTCTCTCTCTCTCCTCTCCCTCCCCTTTCTCTTTTCTCTTTCTCTCATCCCTAAAGTCGGCCCGGGAAATTCTTGAATGGAGACGGATCCATCAGTTGTATCTAGGAGTTAACATACAATGGTAACAGCCTCCATGTTCATCTCTGTTTGATATTACTCTTTTTGAAAGAGGACGGGGAACCTCTTTCACTCTTTCTACAGCATATCAGGAATTCCCTTCCCTTTGTGCTTTTTGTTTCTGTGATTGAAAAAGATATGAATGAAAAAGAGAGATATGCCAGCAGGGTCTTGCTTTCTGATGGGAGCTTGCCAATTGCCAGGATATATAGATTTGATGGGTAAGCAAGTTGTCTCCATCTCATGTTAGTGAAGACCCACGACAATTGTAAACGCTATTCATCCTTGAAACCTTTGCTGTTGGACAAGACTCCTTGCGAAGGAGAGTTAACCCTTAGAAGCGATCCGTGAGCTGGGTCAATAGCATCAAACAGCAGTTTCTACCTCATGCCTTGTCAATTTGGGCACCAGCCACCTGTCTAATCTTCCAATGCTAGTTAGTGGAGGGAGGGAAGAGATGTGGGTAGCGGATGGGTGAGTCTTTGCTCCCTTTATCTTCATTCCTCTTTTCCCACATTGTTTTCCCATCTGTTTTTGGGGTTGGGAAAGATCAATTGCCAGGTGAGAAGAGATGGTCAATCACTTTCCCGTCATCCTAATGCTCTCGGTCCAATTCACCAGCTGGCCGTGAGTGGGAAAGGGTGACGATGGATGAGTCTCTCCTTCCTTTCCCCTTCCACTCTTGCCATTTTCATTCTATTCTTTTCCATGATTGGATCTCAAGAGCTTGATACTGATTTATGGGGAACTTTTGAGTTCAACACTTATGGAACTTTTGGAGTCATGTTTTTGGATTTAGGGTTTTGCAATACGGTTTTTCGGAGTCACATGTTGGGCAATCACCAGTTGTTTTTGCGGTACAGTTTGTTCTGAGTACAGTTCTTTTGGAACACGTCTTGTTTTCCAATCTTTTTTTTTCCCCGAAAGCATCGCGAAGGGTTCTTCCGTGCGGAGCCCTTGGACAAGTTACACAGAGCCAAGTTACACAGAGCCAAGTTACATAGAGCCAAGTTACATAGAGCCAAGTTACATAGAGCCAAGTTACATAGAGCCAAGTTACAAGTTACATAGAGCCAAGTTACATAGAGCCAAGTTACATAGAGCCAAGTTACATAGAGCCAAGTTACATAGAGCCAAGTTAGCCAAGTTGCACAGAGCCAAGTTACATAGAGCCAAGTTACATAGAGCCAAGTTACATAGAGCCAAGTTACATAGAGCCAAGTTACATAGAGCCAAGTTACATAGAGCCAAGTTACATAGAGCCAAGTTACATAGAGCCAAGTTACATAGAGCCAAGTTACATAGAGCCAAGTTACATAGAGCCAAGTTACATAGAGCCAAGTTACATAGAGCCAAGTTACATAGAGCCAAGTTACATAGAGCCAAGTTACATAGAGCCAAGTTACATAGAGCCAAGTTACATAGAGCCAAGTTACATAGAGCCAAGTTACATAGAGCCAAGTTACATAGAGCCAAGTTACATAGAGCCAAGTAGAGCCAAGTAGAGCCAAGTTCACAGAGCCAAGGTTAGGTAGAGCTTGCGTAGAGCTTCGGCGTTAGCAGCTATGTAAGTTAGTTTAGGTTTCTAAGGCGCCGGGGCGGGAGTTTGATCGTCGCTCGGGATTGCGACCCTCTGCGGAGATCCGCGTGGTCGAGGTTAAAAAACTGAGGACTTTTTACGATTTCTGCGGTCCGCGCGACCCTCTGCGGAGATTCGCGTGGTCGAGGTTCAAAAACTGAGAACTTTTTACGATTTTTAGCATGCGCACGCGAACCTTTGCGGAGATTCGCGAGGTCAAGGTTCAAAAACTGCGGACTTTTTACGATTTCTGCGGTCCGCGCGCGACCCTCTGCGGAGATTCGCGTGGTCGAGGTTCAAAAACTGAGGACTTTTTACGATTTCTGCGGTCCGCGCGGAACCCTCTGCGGAGATTCGCGTGGTCGAGGTCAAAAAACTGAGGACTTTTTACGATTTCTGCAAGCTGCGCGCGACCCTCTGCGGGGATCGTGCGTGTCGAAGCGCTCTCGCTGTGGCGCCGTGCGAATTTGTTGCTCGCGAAATGGCCTTTGGAAGTTGTCTCGTGGTTCGCGCGCTGCTTTCGCAATCACGCGGTCGCGGGTTCGATTCCCCCCCGGTCCGCGGCAGCTCCGGCTTGAAAAACGCAGCTTTTGAGTACAAACGTAGTACGCGTCGCGTGCTCCTGCAGCTCCGGCTGGAAAATCGCAACTTTTAAGTTCAGACGTAGTATGCGGAGCCGAGTTGCGCGGAGCCAAGTTGCGCAGAGCCGAGTGGCGCAGAGCCAAGTGGCGCAGAGCCCAGTGGCCCAGAGCCAAGTGGTGCAGCCAAGTTGCACAGAGCCAAGTTGCGCAGCGCCAAGTTGCACAGAGCCAAGTTGCACAGATCCAAGTGGCACAGAGCCAAGTGGCACAAAGCCAAGTTACACAAAGCCAAGTTGCACAGAGCCAAGTTGCATAGAGTCAAGTTACATAGAGCCAAGTTGCACAGAGCCAAGTTACATAGAGCCAAGTTGCACAGAGCCAAGTTACATAGAGCCAAGTTACATAGAGCCAAGTTACATAGAGAGCCAAGTTGCACAGAGCCAAGTTGCACAGCGCCAAGTTGCACAGAGCCAAGTTGCACAGAGCCAAGTGGCACAGAGCCAAGTGGCACAAAGCCAAGTTACACAAAGCCAAGTTGCACAGAGCCAAGTTGCATAGAGTCAAGTTACATAGAGCCAAGTTGCACGAGCCTGCTTTGCAGAAGCTGTTGCATCGATGTAAAAGGGCGTCTCCGCGGCTGGAAAAGCACATGATGGGAAGCGCTTCGGGGAAAATGCTTTCGGGCCAATCGTCCTCTAGCTTAATCATTTGAATGTATAAGATGATTAATCCAGGTTTCCAAATGATACATATTGGAGAATTCGTGTTTGCTTTTTTTCTTCTCCATGTTTTCCTTTTCTTATGAAACATAATTGCATTGATTGAACAACCACATTCAGCCAATAAGAAAATACCCAGAAGCACAGAGCATTCTTTTGGCGTGTCTTTTTGGTGACCTCTCAAGCCAAAAAGAAGACAAAACCGGCTCCAGGACCCGGGCTACCCCGTGATGTTCGTGACCGAGTTCATGGAAGGCGGGGACCTGGAGCACCACATGCGGCTCCAGAGGGAGAAGCACAAGGTGAGGGACGACTCCCCGTTTTGGATGGGACGTCAAGGGTAATAGACGCATAGTGTTTTGGATTTCAAGAGTGGTGGTGGCTTGAGGTTTTTAAATATTGCAAGTGAAACCACCAGGTCCCACCACAATCCGTCATAGCTTTTCTTAAAGGCGGGGCTTGATCATGGGGAGAATATTACCCTTTTTGACTATTGCTCATTTGGGAGGGACATGTAGGAGGTTTCTCTCTCTCTCTCTCTCTCTCTCACTCTCTCTAAATTTTCCAGAAAAGCCAGGAGGCTCACAAAACTTCCCATGTGTACCGGCAACAAGCAATTGCTCATATGGGTGCGTGTCAAAAATCGGGGTCCTCGACCCATTTCGGTTTCCCGAGAACCGACTTGAACCAGCTGCCACCGACTGGTGCGAAGCAGATGTTGTCCATGGACGCTGGCTCCATGGATTTTCTTCCGAAGTCTCCCAGTCGATCTCCACCTGGGGGAGAAAAAAGCAGAGATGTATTTGGACCCCTGAAAGGTGCCAACTTGGAAACAAGACGAGAAGGCTTGAAGTTAGAGCCATGTCCAAGAAGGACTGGTCTCCGAAAGACGAGGGTCATGGAGGATTATCCGCATCCAGAAATATCGGAGGCCTTGGCTCGGCTTTTGTGGTCTTAAGCGCTGTCAAAGGGTTGGCCGCCTTGCCATTCGGTTCGCCGGTTCCCGTCAGCTGGCCGCTCTTCTCAATTCGCCATGATTGCTTTTTGTTGTTCAACGGAGCCGGAGCCGAACCGAGCCGCAATTGCCAAGAGAAAACCGTTTCGAAATTCAGGATTCTGGGACTGTTTTGGGGTCCTCTACTGTGGAACGTTTTCCCCAAGGAAAATCTGAGCCGCTGCATGCCTTCGGTTTTTGAAACAGAACACCAGATCAAAGCCTTAGCCTTTTACAAGGTGTTCCATATCATCTAAGCGGATGACATATGTCTGAGCAAACTCCATAGGGCATTTTGCTAGGTGCAGCACTGGAGCCCGCCCTTGGAGCAGATGCTGGAGTGGTGCCTCTCTGTGTCCAGAGCCCTGTCCTTTCTGCACAACTTCGATACGCCCATCATCCACCGAGATCTGAAGCCTTTGAACCTCCTGCTGACCAAGCACTTGGACATCAAGGCGCGACTTTGTTTCTCCCCTCTTCCGAGCTCCTGCAGTTCAAGTTGTTTTTGTGGGAGCACAACGGCTCCTTGTGAGCAGGGCAAAAACCACAAAGTTTGTGGGGTGTTTTCAGTCGAAGGGGAAGATTGGGTCCTGTGCCAAGGTGACGGACTTTGGCATCAGCAAAATGCTGAGGAACGTGGACCACAAGGCCTATACAGCCATGACTGGGGGAGTGGGCAGCTGGTTGTACATGGCTCCGGAGGTTGTTCGACATGAGGAGTATGATGAGAAGGTGGATATCTACTCTTTCGGCTTGATCATGTACTATTTGAGCTCTGGGCGCCGGCCATTTTACCAGGCGTGGAAGCCAAAGAGCTTTCCAGCTGACGCCATTGATTCTGTTGCCTGCTGCCAGCAACCTCCAGCAACCGGCTGTGTTTTTCCGGAGCACACAACTGGAGCGATTTAGCACGGGCCTTTCACTTCCTGGTTGAATTTCACTTGGTTTAATACTGTGTCAGGCCGGCAAGCAGTTTGTTGCCCGAGTGCTCAAGCGAACAGGGTTTAAACAGCCGTGGTCACAAATCGTGAGTCTGGACTATGGAGGAGCAGTCCTTTGTATTTCCCTTTAGGGTGAGTTAAACATCACCATTTGCCCCTTCACCTTGGGGGACTCCAGCGCTTGGTGAATTCTCCATAGTTTCTCCTAGGGAATTCATGGGGCGCCCTGAGGTGAGCCTGAACCCAAAGGTCGTGCTCCAAGAGTTCCTGGACGGCAAGGAGCCGAGGCCGGTGATCCAGCACTGCCACGCCAAGCTGCGGAGCGTGGTCCGACAAAGTTGGCACGAGGATCCGCAGCAGCGGCCCTCCGCAGATGAGATCAACACCTTCCTGGAAGAGGCCAGGCAGAAGCCGGGCCATCGGCCCTGCTTGCTCATGTAATTTGCGACGCTTCTCGGATCTGGTCCAAATCAGAGCTTGGAGTTTGTACAGCTTATGAAGCGGAGGTTGCCCTTTTTTTTGCATGAACGGCGCAAGGAGACGCCGGGTCCCTCGTGAGGGATTGCTTTGTCTTTTTCCAGCACTCACACACTGCAAATTGTGGAGAACGAGTGAATATCCTGCTTGCTGCAGCTTGGCGCAAGCTTAAACAGGACCTGTGCCACGTTGCCCAACTTGAAGTCCGCGGTCAGAATTGATCGTACAGAAAGATTTGGGCTGGACCGGACGGTTTCAGGGCCTGACCTGGCTCATACGATCCCGGCGTGGTCGCGTCGCATCGTCTCGCTAGGCACTGTTTTCGAGGAGCCACGGACGTGTTCAGGGGAAGTCATGCCATGCTAGTCCAAAAAGCAGCCGCCATCAGTGAAGCTCTGCCAAGCAAAGGTTGTTATTTCAATCCTGTCAATTCTGCCAGCAATGCTGCTTTGTGTTGTGGCTGGTAGGCTGCGTCGGCATGGTGTACAGGCGCGATTTGTGGCAACCTACACCAGGGTCAGGATTGATTACTTGGGGCAGGCTGTCTGACTGAGCAGGCAACATTTTCGGTAGTTCGCTGTAGGTTTGGGAAGGGGGGACAAATTCCATGGCGCTGTGCTTCTCCATATCCCATGGTGGCACCATGCCTCAGCTCTGGGGCTCCAGCAATGAGAGTTAGATGTGAGGTGAGCTTTGAGGTGCATGCTTATGGTTTTTTGGTATTTAATTTAATTCTGTAACTTAACTTTTGCGAGAGCCACGAAGGGTTGCCATTTATATGTTGGTTGCGCCATGAGGGTAAACTAGTTTCCGGCATGTCAGGGACACCGGACACCGGTCAGATTCCCATCAGCCAAGCAAGCTCAATGCGCAACGATCCGATGTAGCCATGGGCGGCAGGCTGGCGGCTTGGGCATTGGTGACGTTGGCCACGCTAGGCCTCGTGCTTCCAGCGGTTGTCATCATCGTCCTGCAGCCCAAGTCGACGCAAAAAGCCGGGGCCTGAGCTGACGCAAATTGATGGGTCTGATGCTCCAGCGACTCGCAGTTTTTTCCTCGGATAGCTAAACCCTAGGATGCTGGTCAGGGTGCTGCTTGGTGTGCTCAGAGTGCCGCGGTGGATGCTGGGGGTGCTCGTTTAGCTTGCCAGACAGGGTGCTGGACAGAACGCTGTTGCAATCTCTGAAGGGTCTACGCTGGTGAAAGGGTCCGAGGACAGATCGGTGTTTGTGGCGCATGGGCGTACAGGGGCAAGTGAGGGTTGCAGAGGTATGCTTCCTGGTTGCCTTTTCTGGGATTGTCTTTGCCCGGAGGGTTGGAATCCCGAGGGCTATGACACGCCCGGCTCAAGGTGACCACCTTTGTGAACAGCACTGCGCCTTTGGACATCTATGTTGTTCTGGATGCCAGTGGATCGGTCAACGACGCAGACTGGAAGGCAGGGGCGGACTAATGTTCTCTTTGCAGCTCTGAAAAGGAACTCATGATTAAACAAAGATGACACGAGTTTGAGGTCGCTGATTGCCAGAGAGGTCTATGGGATCATTGGTTTTCCACAGGAGAGCTTGCTGTTCGCCAAAGACTTGACCTTGCAACTGAACCAGTCCGTGCCCGAGTTCCGAGCTGGACTGGGATGGTTTGCCACCACCTACCGGAACCTTGGTGGCTCTTTGAAGCCAGGTAGAACCATCTACAACCTTTTATGAAGGCAGCTACAACCATCTGCTGCAAAAGGTTTAACTGTTTGTGGTAGTCGGGAAGTGCGCATATTCCCAACAAGTTGAAATAGTTGAAGGTTGACGATCCAAGCAAATATCCAAGGAACGTGTTCGACGTTACCTCAGACCTCTCCGCCGTGGCTCGACTGCCCGCGGGTGTGTCTGTGAAGAAGGGCACCACAAATACGGCGGCTGCCCTGTGCGGCAACGCGTTTGAAGCCACAAAGCTGGCCGAGGCGTGGGCTCAGCGTGTCACTTTTTTGGATCCCAACAATCAAGGACCTTTGCAGGTGCGCACTTACGTAAGGGGTATATACTGCCATACACCTCCAAACAGACTTTTGCCGGGTTCGGCCTTGCTGGGGGCATGAGCCAGCCCTGGGCTTAAGTCTGCCAGCCTGCCAGCGGGAAAAGCTCCCAAGCATGGGGAAGACGTGGATTTTTGTTTTCCCCACGCAAAAAGGGAACGCCTCGGCACCCTGGGTTTTCAATGGTCTTCAGGCGGGGCCCAAGTGCCGTGGCGGTGCCTACGGCAAGCTGAAGCATGCTGCCGAAGTTTCCGGTGGCTTTGAGGCTGTCTCGGGCTGTGAAGAGCAGACGAGTCGGCGCCTCGGTATGGGCGACACATGCTGAAACATGCATAGGGTGCTACATGAGGTTTGGTCAACGGCTTATTTGGGAGGACATGGGAGGACTCAGTAAATTTTCACACAAAAGACACAGTTTCCGACGTCCTCTTCGAACATGCAATTCTCAAATGGCGACAGTGCTTGTTCCGAAAGCAAACCCAAAGGGGATGGGTAATTTCAACTTCTCCAGACCCCCTATAAAGCGCCCACTACCCTGTCCCAAAACCAAAAAACATGTGCAAGCGCAGAAGCATGTGAGTGGCACTTGCGGCTTGCAGGGGATGAACATGAACACAAGCACGGGCTTCAGAAAAGGGAACCACAGTTTTTGGCTGATGGGTCTCTGCCTTTTCCAAGGCTCCAGCATGATCATCATGGTCACTGACGGGAGGCGAGGGCCAACATTTCGGGTTGGAGGATGGGGGGGGAGGGGGTGAGGGGGTGGGTGGGTGGGGGTGGTGCGCCTAAAAGCTTGCCTTTGCCAGGCCGAACACAGGCGAAGCCCATGGGAGTGACCTGCTGCCGATGCTCGCGGCTCAGTTCATCAAAGCGGAGACCAACACAACAATCCTCGGGATTCTGGTGGGCAACCCTCAACAGGCGGGCAGGTTTTTGGCGAGCTTTGGAGGCTGAGCTGGAGCATACTGGAAACCAAGATGCATTTGGCGTGTTTGGGTCCTGCGCGGAGATACAATATTGGTGGCCTCCTTCTGTCTTCCCGAACGACTGGTTTGCCGAGCTTCAACAAAGGAGCCCACCGCTCATTTGGCGGCTTGCAGGCGAACCGGGAGATTCTTTACGGCTTATCTTCCTGCTGCGCTCCTGCTGCTATGGCCCTGGGAGAAGAAGGCTACCCGCGGTGCAGCGAGCCCGTGAATGAGAGCTGTGCCTACATGTTTCAGATGAAGGACGATGGAGTTGTCAAGAATGGAGCCGCCTTACCCCCTTAAAAGTCAGAAGGGGGCAATTTGACAGCCCCCTCCCATTCCCTGCTTTACGGGTCCCATCAGCTGGTCAACTCTATTTCCTGTACTCGGTTCGCAAGGAAGGAATCGGCTTTCTCGACGCCCCCTGCTTCAGTCAGTGTGGAGTGCTTTTCCCCGTGCTCTGGTGTTGAAACATCATTTGGACGGCGGCTTATTGGGTATTTGTTTCAAAGGGTGCCCTTCTTTTTCGTAAAATCAAAAGGACAACTAAGCAGCCAACATTTCGAGACTCGCCCTCTCCGGCGTCGGCTGCCGGCAGGACTACAACGCCCTGATGCGGAGCGTTGGGATCATCGAAGGCACATTGAAGGACGAGCTTCAATGCGAGGGACACGTGGCAGAAGCGAGATGCTGGCTTTCTTAGGTAAAGGATATTCGTTGTCAGATTAGTTAGAAGGTGCAACCCTATATTGACACGAACCCAGGCGAGGCGGAGTTTGCGAATGTCAACTTCGAATTCAGAAGAGTGGTTGTCCAGATGATTGCGAAGTTAGCGTAGCGGAAGCGACCGGGCAGCGCTCGAATCCCAGGAATGGAGGAACGCATCTTTACGATGGCAGATTCACGAAGCCTGTGGTTTCTGCTGCTCCTTGTGCCTGTGCTGGTGCACCAGCTGTGGCAGCGATGCTTGCCCCGGCCCTACTCGATGTCGGGTTACTTTCGCCGAGGGGGAAAACCCTTGCAGAGCTTTTGGCCAGGCTTTGCGTTGGAAAGTCTTCGCCTGACGTGACTCGCCCAGCAGAGCGTTTATTTTTTGACTTTGGTCAACGTGAGCAGTCTATGGTCCATTTTGGGGGAGGGACATGGGGGGACTCACTGAATTCCCCACAAAAACAGGGAACCCATCAATGTACCCGTCTCCTCCAGTGTTCTCCAGTGCTTGTGACCGTGGTTCACTTGGGCATGAGCTTTCAGGCTCGGTGCCTGACAGCACCAGACCAAGAGATGGAGATGACAGCGCCTGAGCCGCATGTTGGATGAGGCTCGAAACTTGGTTCCTTTGCGAAGTTGCACGCCTAGTGCGAAGGATTGGGGGTTCGGGGGTTGTTCGCTTTGCCCTATCGAAAACAGTCTGGTTGAGCAAGAAAGACGGCGCCGGTTTCAGTTTGGTTTCAATCATCTACGAATACCATCTATTTTTTCGTGTGATTAGCCATGTGTTGAAAGCATCATCGGGTGTGTCACGATAGTGACGATCCCGTGGTGTTTTGAATCAAGTTTGGATCCGTTGCGGCCTCGGATGAGCGTCGCCGGGTCCCCACGTCGATCTCCTACGTGTCGGAGGAGAAAGAGACTTTGGCTCGGGGCAGGTTGGTGGGGAGTGCCCGTGCGGTTCATCGTCGACCCAGGTTGCGGGTATCCTTTTGCCCTTTTGGTTTGGATTGTGGTTGTTTGGTTACTTGTGTGTGGGAATCCTTGATCTTTGGGACCGGGGATTGGTTATTGTTTTAGGGTCTTTCTTTTGTGGCTTGTTTACCCCACTCACCTTTCGCGTGCCCGAATCACAGGTTATCAGCCGTAGGACTTTCCTGCAGCTTGTGGCCTACGACTACAAGCACTATGACATCGAGCCCACGGAGATCTCGAAGGGGAGGCCATCTGACGATTTGCCGGGCTTCAACGGACTTTGAGGTACGCTTGGCAGGTGGCGGTCGCATGGGTGATGCTCCATTGCCGCAGCCAGAAGCTTCATCAAGTGGCTCGCACGCGCGCGGGCAACCGCAAGCTGAGGTTTCCATTCAGTATCAGAAGTGCGTGGGCATCATGAAGGAAGCGGTGACCTCGGACACCCTACAGGGGAGCACTGTTCCAAAGGGGGCTTCGTGCAGCGTCGACGGGTCAGGAAGTTGCTCAGGAACAAGAAGGTGCTGCTTCCGGGCTTGATCGTGAACAGCTTGCGCAGCTGTGGGAGAATTGGGCCGAGACTATCTTGAGTAATTTACTACTGCCCGTCTACCCATCCATCGTTCTGCAGGAGATCACGAAGGGGCATGAAACGTTGTTCACGGTCCTTAGCTGTCTTGCCATCAGTCGGGTGCCGGTTTGAGGATAGCGGCGGCAATAGCTGCCGGCTATCCAAGCTTCAGGAGACAGAGGCGCATCCTGATGCGACAGTGTTCTAGTTGCTGGACCACATGTTCAACACCGTCTCTGGGAAGAAGAAGGAGGGTCTCGATCCTACCACGTTAGTGGTGGAAATCGGAAAATGCAGGGCTCGGAACGATAAGGTGAGGAGCTCGCCAGGTTCGCAACATGACCCACCCTTGTGATATTGAGGAGGTCACACTATCATCCCGTCGACATCCCCGTGTACAGCTAGGAGGCACGGCTAGGGATGCGGCGCAGTTCCTGGTGAAGGTGATCTTAGGATTGGCTCGAAGAAGGCCATGGACGTGTTCGGCGAGCGGCTGAAGCAGGGTGGGCTGGTCGCTGGCGTGGAAAGTAGGCTACGGCTGATCAGTCGGTCTGGTTCTTACGCGAACTTGCGGGGATGCTGAGTGTGGAGGACGTCGGCTTTCTTGGCGGGCCAGGTATGGCGATCTGCAATGACGGGCTGATGCAGGACGTTCTCAGGCTGCTGAGAGGTACGCTGATCCGGGTTGAGATCCCATTCGTGGGATGCGTTGTCGTGAAGTTGCAGTCCGGGATCAACAGAGGAACTATGCAGGTAGGTATGCTGTGGTGCTCAGGAGGGCGCTATTGGAGCAGTTGCGTGCTTGGCCGGACGTGCCCCAAGCTGTGGCCCCAGAATGCTGAGCTCTTGCCGGTCCTGGTTGCCTTGGCGGCCGGGGAGACCATTTGAAGCAGCAGCCAGTATTTTTTCACATTGATAGCGAGGCGGCTAAACATTTGCTCATTCGGCACTTGTTAGCTGAGAGCTGTGTTGAGCTTAGAGACCCAGTTAAGTTTGCGCCCTTGGTATTCGGCATTCCCAGCAAGTCCAACCCAGTCATGGTTGACATTCGTGTTCACTGGTCGATGACGGGGCCGGTAATGCTGACCAGGAGGAAAACTCTTGCCGTTAGGGATGCGATCCAAGTTGGGCATGGAAGGCCGCGTGCGTGTTGGGTGGCCGCACGCTGCTGTATCATCGCACATGGGACTACGGTGATTTTGCACCCGATAGGGGCAATCGCAGCGGACAAAAAAAGGTCACCCTGGACGTCTGCACGACACTTGCTGAAATTATCCAATGTAAGGTGCATCTGTGTTCTGGATAATGCGGCTGCGCTGGACGTGATCAATCAAGATCATGGAGAGGCCCCTTGCAGAGAGCGGCCAAGGAGATGCCGTGGGGTCAAGGACGGCGTCGTTGGAGTGAAGGAGGACGTATGACTTGAGGGATTCTCGGAGGCCGATTCGATCAGAGAAGGGGGATCGGGAGCTGTGGAGGAGGTGGCGTGATGACAGCTGTTAGGCTGTGTCACGAGAGGAGTCGCCGTTAGGCGCAGTCCTCGTCCTCCAATGGTCCGCTGGGCGTGCTCACGCCCCTCCTCCTGAGGCGTGTTGATCATGTCTCTTCTGGACCGCAGCTGGGCTGCTGGCAAAGGTCACGCTGGAGTTGTGCGAGTGAGAGACGGTGTGGATGAGTGGAGGATTTCGTTACGCATGAGGGACAGCGCATCTTGCCGCTAGGCGAGAGTGCTATCGTTCGGTTACTCTATTAAGTACCAACATGGCTTCTCATATGAATGAAAACTTGCATCTCTGATGCAAAAGGTTGTGGCCTAGTGTCAGCATGTGGACTCTTCCACTGGGTGTGTTGACTAATTCGGGGTGGTGGCGGGGCTGTAATGCCCGGGATGTCGCGCAACTGCCTGTGTGGGTCTGCTCCGCGGTAGTGTCCTGCTGTTTGCGGACGAATGTGAGCTTTAATTCCTATCAGTAATTAAACGGCACGCGCCGCTGCATCAGTCAGAGACGGATTCCTCGTGAGGGGTGTCATCGGGTGTGTCACGAGGAGATCCTGTTTTTTTTGGCTGCTCAAGTTTGGATCCGTCGCGAGCGTTGCCGGGTCCCCACGTCGATCGCCGTGTCGGAGGAGAAGGAGACTTCGGCCGGGGCAGGTTGGTGGGGAGTGCCCTGCGGCTCATCATCGACCCAGGTTGCGGGTATCCTTTTCTCCTTTTGGTCTGGATTGTGGTTGTTTGGTTACTTGTGTGTGGGAAACCCTGATCTTTGGGACCCGGGATTGGTTATTGTTTTGGGGTCTTTCCTTTGTGGCTTGTTTACCCCAAGTCAGCTTTCGACTGGGAACAGGGTAGTGCCCGAATCACATTCCGAAAGGGACGCCTCGGTTGCTTCTTTGGCCATCCGTTGAACAGCAATTTGACTTGGCCGATCCTGATGTGTGTAGCCTCAGGCGCCTGCGCCAACCCAACCTCGACCAGAGCCTGAAGCGGTGGCCCGGTGAAATTGGCGTACGGCGTATGTCGGGGCTGAGCAGCTGGGGTTGTTTCCCTTTATGGCTTGACTTTGGGGAACGGGGCTAGGGGGTTGGGATTGTACCCTTCAACATATCTGGGGCCTCAAAAGACTGCCTTTTTTGGTCGCGGTTCGAAAGACCTTTTTTTTTTAAAGCCGCGCGACCAAAAAACGGTCGCGTTACGAAAAAACGAACTTTCCGCATTAGACCAAAGAACATCATCATGGCAACTGCAGCCCCCAACATCGTTGTGATATAGCGTCTCGAGAGCTTGAATACGGCTCTGTTCGGGTTTTGTACGGAAAAATACGGTCGCAACATGTCAAAAACATGGTCGCAACATGAGAAAAACGGTCGTTGTAAGGAAACAAGGTCGTGGTCTGAGAAAAAGAACGGGTGTTTAACAGAAAACAAACGGTTCTTGATTGCAAAAAAACAGCCGTATGAAAAAAAAAAAACGCCGTCCCAGCATGATAAATTATGGTCGTTTCAGTAGCAGTAGCATGCTGTGCACCCAATTCTTGTCAAACATGCGTTGGTTCCAACAAACCAGTGTTCACAGCCTGTCACTTCGGTAGGCCTTGGCAGGCAAGTTGCGTAGTGTCCCCTTGCCTGAGCAGCATGCATGGCAGGCATTCAGCGCGATTGAAAAGAAAATGGTCGTTCCAAGAAAAAAAATGTATGAGCAAAAAATGGTCGCGCCGTACCGCAACCAAAAAACGGCAGTAGTTTGAGGCCCCAGGAAGCGCTTATGGGGTGACTTTGAAAGTGGTCAGGTTGTTTGTTTGGTCCTGGAGTTTTTTTAATGTCATAGAAAATACACCTCCCCCCCCGACTTTCCCTCACCATCCCTCACCCCTCCCCTTTGAACCAAGAGTTTGTTTTCTCGCGCCGCATGAACGCCAAGGTGCAAACATTTGAGCGCTTTTCGCCTAGGTCGAACTGGCCGGCTCCAATTTCGATTTTACAAATCTGTCCTTGGCGTGGCTAATTCACCGTGCAGGTGCAGTCGGCAGGCAACCCCCCTTTAAGGCTGAATATGGCTTGATTCTTCGAGCGCTCAGCCGGGCAGTTGCTGTCATGTTGAACGCAAAAAGGCTGTCTACATGGGTGCACTGCTCCCACAGTGAACAGTAAGTGGTGGAAGGAGCCGGCAGAGCTCATGTTTTCCTGGAGCAGGCTTACGTTGCCTTGTTTGGGTCTTTTGTTCTTTTGACAAGCACAGAAGCTAATAAGGCTAATGATAAGGGCTAATAAGGGCCATATTCGCCGCTATTCTTAAGCAGCAGCCCTTGTCTTCAAGGGATGGTTGAGGGGGGTGTTTTCAATGATAGTGGCTTCGCCCAGCTTCGATTTGCCAGCTGTTGCCAGACAGGCAAATGTTTCAAGTGGCCACACACGGACAAGTCGAGTCCAGTTTTCTTGTCGATGACGTCTCCGCCAGCTCGGTTCATGAGTTGATCGTGTACCCCACTTTTCAGCTTGAAAGGCTTCCACGCAGGGGCCCTGAGAGTGGGGTCCAGTTTGCATGTTTCTTGAGGTTCATGTGCAAGAGCCCAGGCTCCGGCTGCGGCTCAAACTGCTGCGCGCACAGGGAAGAAGTGGGCGCCCGTGCGTGCGAGGCTGAGTGTATTAGCGAATTGTTGCTGACATTGTTTGCTGCACATTCGTTGTGAGCGCTTCCTTGTTTTCACCAAACATGGGGAAAAGCGCCCCAAAAGGTACCCATGTGAAGACAAACCAGATGCGCAGGGCTACCTGCGTGACAGTCACAAATCAGAACGTGTTCAGCGCAGAACTGATCTTAAACGTATAGACACACACACACACAAACAAGATCCAGCAGGTCCACATTCACGCTCCAGAACAATCAAAAGCAAAAACGCAAAGCAGACAAGAAACACTTTAGGGACCTCACACAAACCCATGGTTCCCTAAACATGTGCCATGTGCGTTTTTGTTGGACTCCGCATGAGTTCGCGTGCATTGTCACGAAAAGTAGCTTGCTGGGCTTGAATCTCGCTTGGTTTGGCAAGTCACGGGCCCAGATTCCCACGCCGTGATGTATCATTTTTGCGCGCTACTGTAGCTGTCGTCCAAGAAATTTGGCATCGGAAGATCACTTTTTCTTTGCTGGCACCGTCGGCCCTCAAGCCTCCCTGCCCCTTTTCTCTGTAATTTTATCCACTCTTTGCTTTCCACCTGCTCCTCTCCCCACCATTGGCTTCGCTCTTCTCTCCACTCTTCTGCCCAGCTTTCGCTCCCTGCTTCTCTCCGCCCTGCGCTGCAGTCTTTTCTCCGCTCTTTTCCCTGCTCCGAAAACTTGTGCGCTTTGTGTTGTGCTCTACTGGACTGCGCGTTTTGAGCGTTGTTCCTTGAAATCGCCTTTTGGCCGCATGAAGTGCTTTGGACAGCCTGCTTCTTTTCTGTTCATTGGGTTCCTCCCCTGTCAACCCCTGTAAGTGAGCCGAAGCTGCGCATCGACCGTGCGCGGACGCATGCGGAAGCCAGCTCTTGCTTCCCTTCCCTGTCCTCATATTATTTTTGCCTGAGTTTGAGATGCGCTGTTGGGTTCCCCCTTTCATTGTTTTTTTCCTGCCTCCTGCGTTCTGAGGAAGCTGCCTGAGCTTCCTGAACCATCAATAGTCAGAACATTGAGGATGAATGATTTGCAGGCGCTTCGAGATTCAGGAACAATCAACCTAGATGCACAATGGTCTCACACGCGCACGCAAGCAGCTATCACACACGCACACACACACACACACAACTTTAGATGGCAATCAGGACGCATGTACGGCCAAAGCATATGAGACACCCCAAGCATGCCAACAATCGAGATTGTAACTAACCACGCGTTTGATTCATTTGTTTGTTTTGATTGTTTGGGCGTTTCCGAATTTCCCAGATATCCTTGGATTATATTTGGCTCTTGCGTTTTGTGCCGATGCACGGGCTCCGCCGAAGGCAGTCATTTTGGGGATTGCATGGGCATGACTTCCAAGGTAACCACCAGATGTATCAAACGAGAACAGCAATCTCAAGAGCCTGTCTTGCCTGCCCCTTCATGTCCCTTTCATGAGCTGCATTGGGACGGCACCAGCATGCTGCGGCATGCCTGAGGCACAGCTTACATCATCAATGGCACCTCGGCCACTAGCAAGGGCACGGGAGAGAGCCGGATGTGCTTGTCTCCTTGCATTTTGAGACGCGCTGGACTCTGAGTACGGTCTCTTTTGTGGTTGTGAGTTTCTTAGTAGGATCATTGTCAGGGTCCCTCGATAGGAACCATGGCCAGAGTGTTGACCATTCAGAAGTGCCAACAACAGGTTTTGGAGGGTCCTTCAAACTGAGCACTTTGAATCCTTCTCAAGTCGCCTTTTTTTTTTTCTTTCTGGGGGAGTTTCCTCCACCCCGCCATGGCTTTTGGGATGTCTTGCCACCATACCATGGCCCCAGTGTCTCAGGCGCTCGGATGGACGTGGACTACGGGGTGCCTCGCGGGAGCGGCCCCCCGAGCGCGCCGAACGCCGCGCGGCGCGGGGAGTCCTTCGAGAGCGTCAACGACTACCCGGAGACGATGGTTACCCATGGCCCAAACCCATTTCTCCCAGGGGGTGACAGTCAAAACCCAGGTAGATGAAAAATTTGAGGGAGGGTCCCATTCAGAAGTAGTTTTTTTTTTTTTTTTTTTTTTTTTTTTTTTTAAATCAGAGACCAGGATTTATTTCAGTTTGTGTAAAATACACCAAGGTGAAGCCCCGAGAGTGGGGCTGTGGATTCTTGGTCGACGCGTGGTCAAGCTTTGGTCAGGTGGTCTGGGACTCCAGTTCTGGCTGTTGTTCTTGCGCACCTCACTCAAACTCTGCTTGGGGGGGGTTGTCAACATGGCTTCGCATGCTCCTTGAGGCAGAGGTTAGCTCTGACAATAGCGACAGATTCTTCGGAATAGTTTCCATCCGCTAATGAGGACATGTCAAATGTGCCGGCTAGAATGCTGTACCTAAAAACTGAACAGGGCTTGCTCTGTGTTTCTAGAGTTTGCGTTTCTTTTGGGCCGGTCTTGGCCCAATGGCGAGTCGCGTTTCAAGGAGACTGCTATGCAGGCCGAGCCGACAGAGGTGTCGTGGCATGATTTGAGACGTACTGAAGCCAAAGAAGGCTGAGGCCTGACATGCATTTGAAGGGACAAGTTGAAGCAAAGGGCTAGACGTAGACGGTTACCAGCTCTGAGTTGTTTCACTGCCGATTTGCTGAGGTAGGCGTGGGTGTGGTGGGGACTACACTCATCGTGGTGAGTCCAGAGGACTTGGTGCCAGCAGCACGAGTCTTCAACTGCCACATCTGTGTGCCGCTGCTGATGACGCCGGCGCCCCAGTCGCAGGGTGCCAGGGTCCAGTCCCTTCGCGCATAGCCTCAGTGGGGAGCCGAGGCTGCTGCTTCTCCCCCTTGTCATCATGAAGAGCGGACTCCTCCCGGACTAGGCGACGCAGGGACATGGCCTGCGGTCCGAGCGCGAAGCACGGCCAAAGCGAAGGGCACACCGAGCTGTCGGAGTGCTTTATGGATGCGAGTCGCTTTGAGTGCTCGGAGTAGGTTGCGCGATCGTTTGGCATGGAAAGAGTGCTGCTGAAGTCTTGCGAGTTCTCCATACGGAAGGGAAGGACCTCTATGCACCATCCCTTCTGATCTGCCTTCAAGAAGATCCCCAGGTTCATTCCCCAACCCCCTGAAGCCTCAAGACTGGCAGTGTGCAGCGCTTGCGAGGCGGGCGCCCAGCCGAGGGTTGTCGAAAATGGCCTGCGGAGTCTCGGCCCGTTGTTTTTTGCCGCCCGCCCCTTACAGGACAACTCCGCCTGGCGCGGGGTCAAACCCGCCCCTTTTTCTTTCGGCTCAGTGGGCGGCATGGAGGAAGGGAACTGAAGCAGAGCTCGACTGCCAGGCGGGAGGTGAAGAGCCCCAAATCGCGTGGCCCTGGACGGGGGCTGCACGGCCTTTTTTTGTTGGTTTGTGTGCCATGGGTGAGGCAACATGTTGGGGAAGCTTAATTTGTGAATCCAGGAACCTCTAAGCTGGGCCATTTGGCTCTCTACACTGGATCAATACCCAGGTTTTTATGACCAAGTCGAGCCGTATCGCCTGGCCAGATGGTGTTGTGGTCAAAATGGTGGGACGAAAGTGTTGACACCCCTCCTTCCTGTTGAAACAGTTTTCGAGGGACATTGGCGGAAACCCAACCAGTTCGGGAGGTTCCCCTTTTGGACACATCTAGTCACGTAAGCAGATGGATATCAGGCAGCACCGAATTACCTGTGAGGCTTCGCCAAATTCCCACGGGGGACAAAGAATAGGGGTGTGTCTTTTTTTAGGGGACACCCAAAAGGGTGGTTTTTGTCTTTTGGTTCTCTGTGAAAGCCTCAAGAGGCCAAAGACACCGTACTCCTGCCAGGTGAGATTTTCCTTCATGCCGCATTGGAGTGGTATGCGAAAAGCCATCCTCGCACTGCTGGCCGGCACCTCAATGCTCAAACGAGCCCATGTTTGACTCTGGCCTTAGTTGAACGTCACGAGTTGTTGAAATGGTGCGTCCCAAACAGTGGACCCACAAATGGTTGGTATTGTTTTATTCTTCAGAAGGAATTTCCCCGAGCTCCCTAGTCCTATTGGAGCAACATTGCCTGGCTCTCAAATTCTGATTGCTTGCCACATTGAAATCGAGGTGCTTGCAGATGCTGCTTTTGAGGATGATCAGGAGATCCAGGTGAGTCGGCTGCCAAGGTCATCCTAGATGCTCTTCCCTGTGTGAACTCGGAAATCCGGGGCGAGCCGTGTAAGAGCCTTGCAAGGGACCCGAAGCCTAGCTGTAATTTACCATGGTTCTCTAGTGGGACAATACCTGAACAATTCCCTGGACGGAGCTGCTGATAGGGTATTCCCTCCGAGGCATGAACAAAGTCTGGCCGTACTCCAACCCCACAGAGACGTGCCCGGCCTTGCAATTCAGCATTGGTTTTCGACTCCCGGGAGCTTAAGACACCATGACAAAGGTTCATGCTTTGATCGGACATGCCCATGGAGATTCGGAGAGCTGATGGCCAACGCAGTTCTCGGAGCAAGGTACGAGTACTATGACTTTCCCTTCTGCAAGCCCAAGATTGTGATGCCCCACATGATGACCCTCGGCCAGGTGTGAGGCTCAGTCGACCCAAGGGCCAAGCCGGTCAGTGACTGCTTTTTTGCAGGTTGGCTTAAGGGGAAGCCAGGAGGAAGCAACCAATTTTTGGCCCCCATGTTTGGGTATGTGTCAAGATAGGGGGATTCCTGCATGTTGGTTTTCCTTTCTTTGGGTACCCTCAAACAGTATCAGTACGCCCATTTTGACACATACCAGCCAGTCACGCACGCCAGCAGCCTTCTCAATTCGAGCCATAGTAAACCGGAGGAGGGGAGGGGGATTGAACAGAGGCGTAGCTGTGAAGGGCTGTTGTCATGTACTGGGGGGGTGTACCTCTAATGGCCTCAAACTCATACCCACAATGATGTATATGTTTGTCTACGTGTTATATATATATATACATGAATTGCATTTATGCCCTATATGTACATATGTATATGCAGAGAGGTGGTATGGTTGCCCGGGAGATTGACACGGAGTCCTCGTTGCGTCCGACTTTGGGGGCGCTTTGCTCAGGTCCTGCGTGGAGACAGATTAGCCTGGCACCCAGCAGGGCCATTTGGATAATTTTGAGGGTGCCGTGTTTTTTTAGTAGGTTAACAGGGAAACCAAGGGGAAACCACCCAATTCATTGGCCTTCGCTTGTTTCAACACAACCCCAGCTGGGTTCGAGAAGGTTTGCATGCAGAACACACAATTATTGGCTTGCCTCCATCAAACCATCAAATACCCATGCCCATCGACATGTCTGGAAGCAAATGTGATTGTGCCATGATCTCAATACTTTCGAGCCATCTCTTGATGAACATTTAGGCAGCGATGTGCAAATTAGCCAAGGTGAACTCGCTGTATCCAATGCACATGAAGCGGCAGGTCCCTAGGACGGTGATATGCTCGAGGCGCGGAACCATTTGCTTTGACCACGGCAAGAGCGCAAACATCTGCTGGTTGTGCCAAAATTTGCTAGCCACATTTTGCGTGTCATTCTTCAGGGTCACCATGTGAGGATCCCATGAGCCAAGCCCATCTTGCCTTGGAAGCGTCAGGCCCATGACGGAGATGGACATCCTGAAATTCAAGGCTGGAGCTCAGTTTCAGATACGGTCAGCGTTTCCTCAATGGTTTGGGGCTCGGGACATGGGGGACTCTGTGATTTTCCAACCAAAAACAAGCAGGGGGACTTCCTAGTCTTCCCATGTCCACAGTCTTAGAGCGACAAGTAAATTTTGACCGTGGCACATAGCGGCTTCGTATTGGGTTGCGCTTTCAAACCCACCAAAAGGGGTTCGACAAAATGCCACACACACACACAAACACACACACGCACGCATGCACGCACATGCGTACTGGCTGCACGAACAGATGAGCCAACTTGCGAGCTTTCTGTACTCAAGTGCTTGCCCAAGCCCTGCCAGAATGCGATAGACCAGAACTACATGTTCGAGCTCTTTGTGGGAGAGCTGCCCATAGTCTGTGACTTACATCCCGGCACACCACGCCATTTGAGATTCGGCCGAAAAACATCTAGTAGTCTATCGTCCGTTTGGGAGGGACATTTTGGACTCACTAGATATTTCCCACCAAGAATCAGAAGACTCACTAAGTTTTCCATGTCCTCTAATTTGACCGTGGCTCCTTTGCTTGTGGTTTGAATGACACAGGACCGACCTTTCGGGGTAAAGTCCTCGATGGGCGTGGAAGACTCGCCAGATGCTCCGGAGAGGCGGCTGTTTGATGTGACACTTGTGACTCTGTCAGCGCTTCAGGCGACACATGTTCCCTGTTCATGTGTGCACGTGTACAGGTACTTCCTAGTGAACTACTTGGACTTCATCATTGGCTACAACGAGAGGGAGGCGGGATGCTCATTCACGCACCGGGAGGCGATGCACCTCTCTCTCACTCGCCATGTGAGCCAAAGGTGGTTTCCGCCAACGTGACCAGGGAGCTGCCAGCTCAGTCCGAGAACTGCGTCTGAGAAGACGACCATTCTTTTTGAGCATTCCGTTCATTGCCGGGTGTATTATTCTATACCATCGTTATTGTTTTGTTCATTTGTTCCTTTTCGTTTATTAAGGGGCACCACCACGATCATTTGCCAGGTTGGTCAGTCTAAGGTCGGCATGACCAATCTCGGCTCGGGTTTTGTTGAGGCTGAACCTGGAGCACTTGGTTGACATTACCGAGTGGAAAGAGGGCATGGCGTGGAGCTCGAAATGGGACTGTGGCCCTCAACGGGGAGCCGAAGGTTTTGAATGACTATCAATAGTCGTTGGAACCCCTCAACATGGGGTAAACGTGAGCCGCACATTTGAGTGATTGCATTTTCCTCGACCATGGACATGAGCTTGTCATGCAAATGAGTCGGAGTCATATTGGCCTGCGTGCATCCCAGGTTGTCCAATTCTCGTACTCCGTGCACTGGACCCCACTGCCCGCTTCCCATGCAGGGTTGCACTAGGTTTCTTTTAATGAACACATTTTTGAGGGGTTCTTGTTAAGGTTCGTTTTGGGAAGTGGGTACCCATGTGAATCTAGATGGTAGTTTTGAGGATGTCACTTTGTTGGACCCAGCAGGAAGTTGAAACTGACAGAAGGGCTAAGAGCAGTCACGTGTGTCTTGGCTGGGTCAAGCGACTCAAGGCGAGCAACACTTGACGTTCCACATTGCTTGCTTTGCTGGCATTTTTTTCTCAGTTCTTTGATTCTTACGGTCCAATTGCCCTTTGTCTCATACGTTGGTTTTGCTGTTTGGTGCAAGCAGGGTGACAAGCGCGCTTCTATATGCGAGTTGCTGGATTGGAACTCCTCTTTCTGCCAAAAGAGACCAAATTCCCGACATGTCTGCCAGGCGTTGTTAAATTATCCCATGTCCCCCTCGACCGAGCGACCGACCAAGGCCCCACATCCCTCCCTCTCAAGCGCTGGAGCTGCAGCTGAAGTCGACCATGCCACACGGGCGCGGAGCTTGGGAGGGCTCCCTCGATTTCTGCTTAGGGTGGTTTAACCATCACCTTTTGGGCTGACATCTGAGTTTCCTCTTGGGGTGGGGAAATGGGGAACGTTGGGGGATGGAGCAAATCGGCCTTGGGGGGGGTACCTCGAGCATTACTGGGACAAAGTAGGTTCCGCTGGGTTCAGTTTGCTTTTGATCTTGTGCCTGTGCCTGTATACCATTGGTTTTCCTTTGAAACCATGCGCGGTCCACCTTTTTGAGTTCCCTTGGAAGGGGCCACTGAAATGACCGGATCCAAATCGTGATGAGAGGACAGCAGGTTTTGCCGTGAATAAGATGCCCCTTGATTGGTGGTTGGATTGGCGAATCGGGTATTTGAACCCTGCCCCCATTTAGGGGGTAAATGGGAAGGCATCCCCTACCCTAGAAACCTCGGAGCCAAATAAACGTGGAGGCAGAGTAATCCCGTGCAAATGAGGCAGATTCAACCGCCACAATTACCACCTGGCAGTTGTTCTTGCATGTCATGGGCATAATTGAGGGCCGCAAGAACGAACCGCCCTTTTGATTAATATGGGCAGACTCCTTCTACACTAGGTTTTGATGCTGCCTCACATTTGCGTGAGCGAAAAGGGCTTTTCGGGCGGGTCAAGCAGTGCATTGGATGGCAGCGCCGCGGGTCAGTAGGGCCTATCTTCTTTGAGCCTCGGGTTTTGTGGGTTGTCGATGGAGATAAACAAAGCATGGCGCGTGAAGATACACGGCGCAGGCATTCCAACATGGACATTCACTGGCTGGCGATCATCAACTCCTTTGTGCTGATGTTGCTAATCCTGCAAGCGCCTGAGTCATCGCCTGAACAAATCCCCCTGTCACCTGGCTCGTGCAGCCAAGGAACGAGGGATTCCAGGAATACTGAAAATCCCAGTCCAAGTATGCGCAGAGTTGGTTAGCTGCGGCCCAGGTCTCTCTTCCTCTTGATTATCGTCAAGGTAGTCCGATCCGCCAGCTTCTCAGTAGCGCAGAGAGGACATGTTATTTTTTTAGTTTGGGGACATGAGAGCGCCCCATCCACTCTTATTCAGGGGCCCACCCAATTTTGCAAATATGAATACGGTTTGTGGCTCACGTTTGTTTCTGGCCAATGCAACTTCCGGCTGAGGATCTGTCACGGTACTTGCAAATTCCAGACGAGGAGCTGAATGCGGTCGAAGAAGAAACAGGCAGGACCTTCGCTGGGACGCCCCCCATACACAGGAGGAGTTCTCTGGCCGAGATGTTTCTTCCCGCGAAACGGCAACGTGCGGGCAGTTGTAATGCAAAGGACCACGTGCAGAACGAAAGCGTCGCCCGCGCCTTTGGCCTCAGGCTGGAAGCTGCTGCACGCAGACGTCTTCCGCGCCCCGAAGCACCGGCTCTTCTTCTGCTCCGCCGCGGCCCCGAAAAAACGGAGAGTCAGCGAAAGGCGACCCGGGAGGCTGGAAATCCGGGAGTGCCAAGACTCAGGTGGTGGAAGTCGGAGGGAGGGGTGGCTGCATGCTTCCATGTCAATGTCAGGGCGAAACATCGTCCTTGTTATGGGAAATCCAGCTCATAGACTCCTGGCTGCTGAATACGGTGTCCCCTTTTGCTGGGGGTTTGTAACTTTTGGATGGAACCACCACACTATGAACAGGGCGGGTCTACCAAATTCGGGGTCAACATTAGATCAGCTTGGTTAAGCCTAAGCAGTTTTTCCCATCGAGGCAGTGGGTGCCGGTGCTCAGCTGACAAGGCCGGGGCGGGTTCTGAGGCAGCCCAATCAGGATTGGGGGATGTGTGTGTGTGTGTGTGTGCAAATATCCAGACTGCGCCCTTTAAAGCCAAAACCAACAGGAGGTTGATTGAAGAGTGGCTTTGAACGTCATGTTTGTTCAACGCGTTGGCCCAATGGATCCACTGCGCAGTATGATGTTCATGGTGGTGCTGGTGGGCTGCATCGGCACCTACTACCAGCGGGGCGCAGTGGCCTCCGCGGCGGTGATCTCCTACATGGCCCGGAAGCCCGAGGAAGCCCGGCCCCTCCCCAACAGAAGCCGACGATGTCGTTTCAGGGCATCATCCGAAGCAACTTTTTTGCGAAGATCTGGAGGGGCTTGGCTTTGTGGGAATGGTTTCCCTGTAATCCACCATTTGGATGGTAATTGCTCCCCAAAGTCAGGGCGAAATTCACATGCGCATGTCCCCCGATTTTGTGGGCAAGGCAGGGGGATGGCTGAGCCGACATGGTTTTCAGCCAACTGTAGGGGGGCTCAAAGGGACACCACAAGGAAAACACATTTTTTTTGGTTTCTTCCTTGTTGCCGACATAGTTTGACTTTGCGATCCACGCCTACGAGTCGCCATTTTTTTGCGTCTAGATCCTCTGCTGTCAGCTTCGTTGGGCTCGCTGAGGTGACAGCCCTGCTTGGGGGTTTCGTGAGCGCCAACCTGTACCAGAAGCTTGGAGGGGAGAAGTGGGCCTGGACCGCCGGTGAGTGTGCCAGCTTGTCAGAACTGCTCAACATGGACCCCGGAGAACAAGAATTTGTAGAGAATCGCCAGGAGTTTATTGCAGTTGAGTGGAAGTAGATGGCGCAATTCCAGCCCATTTGGTGTAGTCATCGCCTTTCTTACCCTGAAGAGAATTGCGCCATCTACTTTCACTCCTGGTGTAATTCTCCAATAATGGGGATGATCACGACAGAGACATGGCTTCCCTCTTGGCAGGAATATCTTCATCACGGCGCTCTCTTTCATGGGCCCAGCTTTCTTGATTTGGCCTGGGGCTAATTGGCTGAGTGGCTGGTTGGCTCAGTGGTTGCTTGGAGGGGGTGTGGACTGCCGGCCCAACAGAACTGGCAAAGCTTGAGAAGATACGCGCTGCAAGGTCGTTTCTGAACACGGTGGCCATCTTCTACGGTTCTACAGCCGCGTTCCCCTTTCCCACGATGTGAGGGGCTTACTAGACAATGCGATGCAAGGGGAATTTGGGGAAGTTTCACTTGTCAAGGGTCAAGTGCGAGTTGCTGTCTCTTGTCTTTTCCCAAACCTTTGTTTTGGGAGGGGAGTTCCCTTCAAAAATCATCCTTATCCTGTGCAAGACCCCTAGTTGTTCTTCGGAGAGATGGTTGCAGTGCCCGTCGCCTAGATTGCTGATGTTTGCGATGTGGGCTTGCGTGACGTTCCCGCTGACCGTACTGGGCGGAATTATTGGCCGTGCACTTGGATTTACTTGCAAGAGACGGTGCAATGATGTTTGTATCCTATGGATGTTTCCCTAGAATAGGTGACACCATGTTTGGGCTGTTCCTTTTGTTTTCCCTTGAACGAGCATCCCAAAGCGGGATGCTCCATTATTGGAAACAGTTCTGTGCAGGAGGCTTTGCGCACTTGCAACATTTTGTGCAGCACACTGCACCAAGGACGGCATAGGTCCATTAAGCAGGCGCAGGCTGAGGGGGTTTCCTCTGGTATGGTCCTCCACATCAACCCAAAGTTTTGTTATGTTCTTCTGAGCGGATGCTGCAAATCGACAGCATCATGGCATGTCTTGACATGACCACCCGCAGAGCGTGCATGTGCAACAAGCTCTCTTCCGGTGCGCCAGGCAGAAGGGAACCCCTTCCCGTGCAAGACCAACAAGCTCGCCAGGGAGATCCCCGCATGTCGTTGGTGCCCCCGTTATTCTGTGCTTGGCTGTGCTAGATATTTGTTCTGAAGCCTCGAGTGCTTTCAAGGCACCTAAGGGCTTGGGGTCTCCAGTTTTATTCCACCTGTTGAGTTTCATTCGGAGTTTAAGCCTAGAGGAGGGGTCAAGGAGGCGTCAAGCGTGTCACTGCCTTGGAGCCTTGAACATGGAGGTACCAGAGCCCGGTGACGCAGATGTTCGCTTCGGGCTTCCTACCCTTCAGCGCCACGCTTGGAGATCGGAAGTGGTGGAACGGGTTTTCACTCGCGGAATATTGGGCAATTGTCACTGACAGTACTGGTGGTCTGGGATGTCCAAAGTAGGGGTTGAGACACCCAACTTTCCCATGGCCTTTGGGAACAGGATGCAGTCCGTTGCTCTCATGCTGACCAGCCCGCCATCCGACAATTGGCCATGTGTTCTTCTCGCTCATGGCGACCCGTTTGCTTGGAAGGACAAGCATTCCTTGGTTTTTTTTGGTTCAGGTGCGATCTACATCGAGCTGCACTACATCTTCAACTCGGTGGCCCATCCGCAATGGCGCGTCTCAGGTGCAAGTCACATGGTGCGGGCCAGGTCTGGGGCCCACGGATATACTTCCTCTATGGCAATGGCCTCGGTGGGAAACAGCCGGGAGGAGTTGCCCGGTTTCTGCGTGCAGGGGTGGGAAACAGACAAGACGGAGTGAGTTCCCCAATTGCAGCTCTAGTCTTTGTGCTTACTTTTGGTGTGTGTGGGTGTGTTTTGTTGAGGTCCGCTTGTGCGCCCATTTTGTTCTGAAGGGGTCCAAGGTTTCCGAGTCTCGTTTGGACTCATTGTTGTGGGATCCATTTCTTTTTGATTCCTTTTTTGGGTCCTTTTGGGGGGTCCACAACACGATCCGAATGGAGGCATCCTGCTCTTGGCGTTCACCATGCTCCTGCTTGTTGCGGGCACAGCGGCGACCTGAGATCGGACCGGGGGCGCGTGTGTTTTTGAGGCTGGGTACCGATTTCCGAGGCTCGGTTGACAGGGAAGTAAAAAGGACAACCACGATTTTCGGGATAACCAGAAACGAGGGAACGTGCATATCAGCACTTGGTTATTCCGCAGGGATGGTTTTTTGCTGCAGACTGGTTCACTGGTGAAGGATGCAATGCCCCTCATTGAGCACGAATGACCTTTTCCTCGCATTTTCTGGATCCTAGTTGAGTAGGGTGGGTACAGCCACCATGCCTTGGTATGAAGAAAGTCACAGCCTGATAAGCTTGGCACGAGGTCACAGTCCTCTTCACCTACTTTCACCTGAATGCGGAGGCGCCTCTTTGTACGTGCCGGCATGCGAATACCCCGAACTTGCCCATGTTGGCTTTTGCGCAGGATCATCGTTGGTGGTGGAGATCCTTTGGCCCCTCGGATAATTCTGCGTGTTATTTGAGGCTTGGTACCTTTTTGTCGGGTTATTTGTAGGGGCCAAGTCGCAAACCACCCATGTGCATGTAGAGACGTACTTCCATTCTGTTTGCCTGCAGAAGGGGCTGTCAACACTCACGTTAAGCAGCAAGGATCCATTCCAAGTGAACATGATACCTTAGGACCTGAGGCCTTGAACATGGAGAGGGTTGAAAGCTGCCATTGCGTTTGCAGACCTCGCAGGATTCTGCGCTCAAGAGGTGATGAATGCAAGCAAGCAACATTTTGCCTGTGACGGGAAAACAATTTTAGCCACATATTTAGATTTGTACACTGAGGTTCCGGAGTTGCAGTGTCTGCATTCTTCTACCTGTGCCCCTGTGAAGAGCCTCATGATTGCAACAGGCGCCACAAAAGTGCCCTTCAGGTACTGCATCTACTTCTTCCTGCAGACAGGGATGACCGGCTTCCTTCAGCGCCAGCCTCTGCTCCATTCGCATTGTGGCACAGACCGCTTCTTGAAGTCGTGGCACCCCACCTTGGTCAACATTCCTTTTGAGCGCATTGCGAAAGACGATCCACTGTATCGATGCATCGATGCATCGGATGCGATGCATGGACTGTAGGTGCTCCTTCTTCTTCCTGTACTCGCTGTTGGCGGCCCATGGCATCGCCCTGACGCTGGGGTGCGTGCCGCCCTTGAGAAAGCTTGTGGCTTTGGGAGAGCCCGTGCTGGTCGAATTGAACAGAGAAAGCTTTCTTTGCAGGGGTCTCATATTTAAGATACTTGCACAATGTACTTAGCCTGGAGCGCCCAGGTGTCCTTCTACTGCACCTACTTCTTCGTTCTCTATATCTACTCGCGCATCAAGGCAGGGGTAACAAGTGTTCTTTTTTGGATCTGTGTTGTGTGAGTGTGTGTGTGTGTGTGTGCTCGCATTTTTATGCATTCAATCACTTTTTCTTTTTAAATCAAAAGGGTTTCCTTGCCCAGAAAAGGAGGGTCCTCTCTCTTTCTGAGGTGTTTTTGGTTTGCTTCGTGGTTTCTTGCATTTGCGCGGCATTTGCTGAGCCTTCACCGCAGCACGCTGGCTCGAACTTGGGCAAAGTCCGAGTGAGCTGGATTGCTGATGCCCCTTCCAACCAGATGTTCTGTGACCTGGCTTCACCTCTACTACCTATTCAGCTTGGACTCCCTCCCCGTTTAGATATGGATCGGGCCTCCCTGTGCAGTTTGAGAGGAAGGGCTGATCCATTTGTTGAGCCCAGGTGCCACCCGTGCAATCCAAGCCCAAGACGCAGCGGGCGGCGATCTCTGCAGTGGAGAGGCAGGGCGCTTGGGGTCGGTTAGGATGGTCATCAAGCTCTTGTTGGATTCCCTGCAGTGGTTCTTAGGTTCCTCGTTGACTATATTCGCAGTAGCGCAAAAGGAGCCTTGGTGAGATGGCTGTTTTCGGCCAATGACACCATCTTGACAAGTCATCCGCCTGACGTGCACCCACCTGCGGCTGAGAAGTGTGCGAACGCTGGACCTCTCTGTGTCTCTTTCTCAAGGAGTGCAAGCCGCGTCTTTTGATTGACACCGGGTTTCCAACCGGAGACCTGTGCCAGGCTGACGCACAACGTCCTGCGGGGCCTGGCGGAGGTGGTTGCCTGCGCGGCCGACGAAGCCTGCCAAGAGGCGCTCGGGCGGCTGGATGCACCCTTTTCAGGAAGACTTTAAGAGAAACAGGAGAACCCATCGTGTTGTCCTCTTATTTGACCCACCAAGCATTTGGTTGTCATTAAACGCTGGTCTCTCGCAGACCTCAGAACATGTGCAGAAAAAGTGGCCTGGAAACAGACATAGAACTCTGGCACAGTTGGCTCCGAGCGTGAGGTCGACCAAAGCCCAAATCAAGGGTAGGAATTGAGTCTGGCTTCCGTTCGTCTTGCGATATCCAACAGCATCAGCATCATAATCCAACTTTATGAGCTTGTTCCAGGATTTGACAATCAAAGGGCACAGCTAAGCTAGACGCCTTTGAGTCATTTTGCCCGGCCCCCCAAATCAGCGAGAGTCCCAGCCCTTTCTCTTCCTGCCTTCGCCGTTTTCGTCGCGAAAAGCGCGCAGGGTTTGGGTGCCAGGGTGGCGGCAAACCGCGGCTTCCTGCTGCGGTGCTGCTTTCGGAGCCCTGCCATTCCCTTGTGCAGGAGCTGCCTGGGGCCAGAACCGGGGTTCGTCGTCTCCAAATGGGCACCTGTGTGTCACAATCTGGGGGTCTTATGGAACATGTCAGGTTACCCCTCCGTTAAACATTTTTTTCTTTTCTTTTTTGGTTTCCCTTTGAGCCACCAACTCAAAAAGCGCGCGCCCTTGGTGTGACAGCGGCGTGTTTTGATTCGTCCGAGGAGGACGGGGACTTCGCGGCCTCCTCGGACCGGGTGCGGCGCCTGAGCTTCGGCGGGAGTGAGCTGCGGCGCATGGCGCGGCTCTGGGCGGCGCTGGACGCGGTGCACCGGCTGAATTGCCAGGCGAAAGGGGGGGGGAACCGCAGGTTGCTTGAGCAATACTCTGGGCTTGAGGCCTTGATTTCAATCATGGTCTGATTGATTTGAATGGGAACCAAAAGGTTGCAGAAAAAGTTCGGGGGGGAAGCCCCAAGGAGGCAGTTTGTTTGAGCAGTGTGTTTGTTGGTTCACGAAAGCCTCAGATGAACGACCCCAGAACCGTCCGTGGGTTCTTTCCGGGGGAGAACGCCGAATGCAAACGAAGGGAGCGCCCAACCAGGGCCGCACCGCCACGCAGCGGGAGCTCTTCTACCGGGCCCTGGCGGTGCCGCAGCGGGAAGCGGGGAATGTTTTGTCCCCAAGCGGATGGGTTCTTTCGGTTAGGGTACAAGGCCGGTGTTAGATCAGGGTGCTCGCTCTGGACCTGGTAGTTGCCGTACAATCGGGACTTGGTAAACATAGTTCGAAATTAATTTTGACTGCGCAGGCTCGCACAAAGTGGCTGGTCCAGAATTGCGGAGTAATCGTGACGCTGTAAATGTTCATACCCTGCGCAGGAAAGTGGTTGGTCAAGATCGCCGTGGCTTTTTACTGGTAATTCCCGTGCATTCCTGCTCTTGTGCAAACTCCATGCGGAGATACCGTGGTAATTCCGCACACTCGTTCGGTCTCATCCTCCGCAACATCAGCTTCCTCAACATCCTCCTCCTCCATATCATCATCCTCAACATCATCCTCTCATCATCATCATCATTATCATCATCATCAGCATCATCATCATCATCATCATCATCATCATCATCATCACCATCATCATCATCATCATCATCATCATCATCATCATCGTCATCGTCATCGTCATCGTCATCGTCATCGTCATCGTCATCATCATCATCATCATCATCAGCATCATCATCATCATCATCATCATAGTAGGGGTTGCTGATTTTTCGGTGCACGTGCGTCAACTATCTCATCAACTCGTGTCAACTATCTCATCAACTCGTGTCAACCATGTTGTTTCTTGTTTTGTATGTTCATCTTCATAGATGCCCACTTACCATCTTCATAGATGCCCACTTACCATCTTCATAGATGCGCATCATCAGAGGCACGGAAATATCTTCTTGACACTCTGGCTCCCATGCGTAGGTCATTTTCTATGTTCCTGCACCTGGTTCATCAGTAAGATATCATTCGCCGTTCCATTATGATACCTTCCCTCACACTGTTTGTGGTGTCTTCTTTCGGACTTTGGATGCGGTTTGAAGTTGGTTTGGCAAGAGGAGATATGCGGTCTTTGATGGATGGAGGGGCCAAGAGTGAGAATCTTTCAGGTTGCGTAGGAGGGCAATAAATTTTTCTAGGGTCTGCTTGAGGAAGATTTTCCACCTGTTGAAGATGGGCGGAGGGTTCAAGGGATGCTGATACATGATGATGCCATTGAAGCCTGTTTGAGGATGTTGACATCTTCAGGATTTGCTTGAGGAGTTGAAGGGCACCATGTTGCTTCCCCGAGCATGGCTCACGATTCACAGGCAGCACATTCCACGGGTTTTGAGGCTTCCTCTGGGTACATTTTCTTTTATGCTCTTTGGGTCGGATAGCGATTGGGTGCCAGACCCAGGCAACATGGTTTCCCCCCTTGACTTATATTTCATCCGCAAAGGTCTCAAGGGTCCTTGTGTTTCCCTTCCTGAAGGATTGAAGGATATTACCATCACAATTGAGCCATGTGAACTGAGTTTCTGATTGGCGTGATGTTTTGGGGGTGCCGCTTAAGCGATGCCCTGCCCTATCACTCTTCGGCCTCAGCCTTGACAGCCAATCCAATTTAACATGTATGAAAAGTGATTGTCATTCACTAGAGAAATGCTTTCCAGCAACTTTCCGACGTTGATCAGGCGATCTCCCGGATATTGGATTTGTGTTGTCTGTCCCCCCTATTCTTGACAAGGAGACCGGCCCCCTTTGTTGTTGTCTTTTTCAATCCGGGAGGTGATCCTCCGGGCCGAAGAACACGCATGGGACTCCGTTTTGGCCGAACCTTTGCATCCTGCAGAATCCTCTTTATATGTCAGGGCATGAAGTAGATAGATGTCAATGGTGATTTGGGATGTTCCTCCCAAGACACATTTGCATGTCTCTAGAAGGTTTTTTGGTATGTAGATAGGGCCATAGTAGGTTTTTCCTTCTGAACCAGTCAACATACTGCAGACGGGCAAAACCAGGCACCAGTTGATAGGTGGCTTATCCCAGTGTTCGTTTGGTTTCATCCATTCCAGCAGGTGCGAAGCGTTTTTCGATCCCTTCGCAGATCTTCGTTTTTCCCCCGGAAAATTTTCTCCATTGCCATTTTGTTTTTTTGGTTCGTCTGAGGAGGGTCGGCTCTTCGCGTCTCAGTCCGTGATGGACCAGGCGCTGAGGGACTGCGTGGGGGCCTTGCGCCTGGGACGGCCGCAGCTGGGGATCTTCACGGCGGAGAAGGGGCTCCTGGCAGGAGCGAGCGGGCTGGGGGGTGGGGACGTGGGGTGAAACCTGTCCAAAGGACCCCTCCATCGGTCCGAGCGGCTGGCAAGAGATGTTTTGTGGAAACCGCCCGGATTTTTTGCGTGACAATGGCGGGTAGATATCTTTGTCATTTGTAGCAAGACGCTGCCCCCAAAGTTTGAGTTGTTTCTTGCCAGTCATTTGAAGCATCCTTCAAACATCCAACAGAGGAGCCTTAGAACCGACTCGTGGTTTAAACCAGGCACAGATTTCGGACTGGTGAATGCTCTTCATTGGTTTGGGGTGGGAGTACTCAGCCCTGCGGGGCTCCATGAGATTGAGTGTGGTGAACGTGAGGTACAATGGAGTCCTGACATTTTTTGAGTGTGTCTCCCGATGGGATACGGAGGCCTCAAAGTAGTTTTTCCCCTTCTGGTTTTGTGCCTTCAGCAAAGAGAAAACTCGCAGGGAGCCTGAACAACCCATGTGGTTAACCACATTTTGTTCTTGGCTTGCTTCAATATACGTAGGTTGGTGAATACCGGAAGGTTGTGTCCTTGCCCCCACAAAAGGGAGAGGAGATTTCATGACTGTCCCTTCAAGGCTTGTGAGACTTGTGATGCTGCAAGGAGACATTGCATTTTGCGATCCAAGCCGTGTGGCGTCTGTGGCAGCGCAGGGGGCAAGTGGAACATCCATTGGCGAGTCGATGCTCTCCCATGACCAGACTATTCAAGTTGGCAGCAAGGCACAGTTTGTTCTAGTGGTGGAAAAGGACACGGTCTTCCAACACTTGCTGCACAGCCAACTGCTGGCAACCTTGCCATTGATTCTCGTGACCGGGCGAGGCTACCCAGACATCCTAACCAGGCGCTTCCTGCAGAGATTGCAGCGCATCGCTCCCCATTTGCCGCAGCTATACCTAGGAGATTATGACCCTGATGGTGTCGCCATCTTCCTCCTCTACCGAACTAGCTGCGCGCATCTGCGGTGGCTGGGCCTGCACCAGGAAGATGTCAAAAAGCTACCAGACAGAGCTGGCATTGCCCTGTCGACGAGGGACCGGGCGCTTCGGGCCTCGCTTCTTCGGAGGGAGGAGTTGCAGACACAACCGGCGCTGGCCGAGCAAGTGCGATCTATGACTAGCAAGTTTGAACTGGAGGCGCTCCATGCTACCTATGCGGGTGAAGGGATGGCCTTGCAGTTCATACCAGAGAAAGTAAAGCTGCAGGCTTGGATTTGACCATGCCGGATTCAGCGCTATGTCAAACATGCATGCCAGTAGAGAACAATTCATGTGACAGATGTGTTTACTGCACTTTGCATGAGATGCGCCCGTGGCTCGGGCTTGATTTTCGCTGGGATAAGCTCGCATGACCCAAGGGACAGTCATGCAGCAAACTACGAACTGGCAGACGACATGTCAGCTCCAAGTAAAAGGGAGCGAGCAAGTGTTGCTGCATAGCAGAGAGCTGTCTCCTTCCTGCCTTTGAGTTCCCAAAGTTTTTCGTGAGGGTATCCTTTTCGGGGTTGTTTTCAATGCCCTAACCAAACGAGCCATTTTTCGGGTTCCATAGTTTAGACAAGGCAGCTCATCGGAATACGCACAAAGCACATGTTTGGGGGGCAGGCGGAATGAGTCCGGGCCTGGGTCTGAGACTTGGCGTCTTTCTGGGGGAGCCGGCTCTGGACAAGGTGCGGGCGCACTGAGTTGGGGGCAAAATGAGCGATTTCGCCCATGAGTCTCCCTTCGAGAATTCCATATTTCCGCGTGATTTGATCTGTAGAAGCCTGGGAGGATGACTTGCCCAGATGCCACATGGACCTCGTACGTATCAGCACGGCGCTCTGAGGTCGAGCTGGAAGCCTATGCAGAAGAGTGGCTCCGCAGCAGGGCGCTCATGAGCTGTTGCCTCCAAAAGGTCGCCTTTCAGCGCTCGGTCCACTTGTGATGCCTTGCACGCTCCGTTGCCCACGGCCGCAAGGCTCAAAGCCTTCCCGACAACGAAGCTCACCAAGCCATGGCATCCAGAGCCATGTGGCGCTTGGTCTTGCTGAGCGCGGCGAGTGGTCTTGTGACTAAGGTGCCCGAACGCCTCTCTGTCGAAGGCGACAGCCCTCAGCTTTTCAGGACTCAACAGCTGGCATTCCTGGAGACTTCCATTAACACGCTCCTGGCACAAAATGCGACTCCTGCGCTTGCCAACCTCACTGTGGCGATTCTGGAGATGATGCAGAGCATGAAGACCGCGATCGAAGACCAGGAGAAGACCATCCAGACCGAGGTCAACACGGCCCACGGCAATTTCGCCGCGTGTCCTCAGATCAGCTTGGGAAGCAGCAAGACCTTCCTGGATGACTTCACGGAGGCGAGTGCCAAGCACAAGGTGTGCCGTCAAAGCGAGTCTGCTTTGGCTGACACCAATGATGGCTGCCTTACCCAGAAGAAGGTCGCCGAAGACGCCAAGAATTCCGAGTGCAGCAAGAAGACGACCATCGAAGAGGAAAGCTGCAAAAACCCCTCGACATTTTGCCAAGTGCACGACTCTGAGAGCTGCAGCTCCTATCTCAACAGGATGGCGGACAAATTCCAAACGGCCACGGGTAACTATGCCTCAGAGTCAGCGTCCTGCTCCAACAAAACACAGCTCCTGACGGCGCAGACTCAGACATGCACAACCGCCGGCGGTGACCTGCAGACGCAGAGGGACACTTGCAACAATGTGCAGACTCGGATGCTTGGCTGCAGGCCTGGTGAGCTTTGAGGTGTTGGAACCCGATGCCCTGTTTAGCAAACTGCCACAACTTGTGTCGTTTGCGCGATCAACTCAGCAAGGATGGACATCGCCTCCTGCAACTACCACAAAGAGACCAAGAAGGGGTGCCAGTCTTGCTATGATCAGACCCTCACTGCCTATCAGACTTTGTCCACGCAGACCGATTCCAAGGCGTGTCGTCAAAGACCTAGTCAATTGGGGCTCATGGGAATGGCCATCGACCCAATGGGAAGAGCATAGACCCAGCCCACTGTGACCCCCATATCAAAGGGAACAAGGCAATCGCCGGTTTGTTTTGCACACGCTGCGATGGATCCTGTCAAGGAAGCTGCAAACCCAAGTGTTTGACGATAAGACACCCAGGTTGCCACCCAACAAAGACCGCACTCACACAGCAAAACTTGGGCAAAGAAAATTGAAACTGGCCCAGCCAAAAGGAACTGGGCGTTTTGAGAAAAAGCAAGTCTTCGCGGCAGGCAAAAACTGAAAAAACTTGCCGACAACGTCCCCGAGCCCAACACTCGGTGCCATCCCAGACACATAACAGCCTGAAGCAAAACGAGAACAGCGCAGCTACAATAGAACTCAGCTCTTTAGAAGAACCAGGCTTCCTTGCTCCTAAACTGCAAAGCCCACGGAGCCTAGAGATGTTGAACTTAAACCAAGCCCAAGAACCAAGCTATGGAATTGTGCCTTACCCACGAACATCGCAACAACAACAGACGCCACAAAGTCGAACTTTGACACCTTGCCGACGACTAAAAAGCACCCTCGGGCTGCGAGAAGCAACGTGGACTCAAAAGATACGCTCTAAACTCAACATTTCCATTATTTTTTTTTAAGGGGAGGGAGGGGGCCTCTGGTACTTGCTGAACTCTTGGTCGCTTTGCTTCTGCGATGTATCGCCTAGGCGGATGACCCTAAACCCGAAACTGTGATCCTCAACCTTGAGCCTACCAAGTCCTAAAGGTGCGAACCCGCAGGCAACCAACACCACTACGACACAAACTACTACTACTACTACTACTACTACTACTACTACTACTACTACTGCTACTTTACTACTACTCCTACTCCTACTCCTACTCCTACTACTACTACTACTACTACTACTACTACTACTACTACTACTACTACTACTACTACTACTACTACTACACTAGCCACCACCACCACCACCACCACCACCGCCACCACCACCACCACCACCACCACCACTACTAGCCACCGCCGCCGCCGCCGCCGCCGCCCCCACCACCACCACCACCACCACCGCCGCCGCCGCCGCCGCCGCCGCCGCCGCCGCCGCCGCCGCCGCCCCCACCAGCACCATCAGCACCACCACCACCACCACCTTCTACCACCACCACCACCACCACCACCACCACCACCACCACCACCACCACCACCACTACTGAATCTTTAATCTCCCCAAATGCTGCCCCGCCAACTGCAAACCAACTCACCATTCAAAAGGGTCTTGAAGGAAGGTAAAATCCCAAAGTTAATAATTTGTTGATTCTGGCAGCGAGCTTCATCAATTCGTGCCACCATGAACAAATGTTTAGACCTAAGGATGATGAAGGGCTTGATGTTGCCAGTTGCAAGCGATTGCGTGATGTGGGCTCGGTCGTATTGCATTCCGTGTTTCAGGGCGCTTTCATTGACTGACGCTGGGGGTTGGCGCAGAATGATCCGGGCCCTAAATCACCAGTGCTGCCCACTGCGACCACTTCCTATCGAATCGACGTCGAAGCCAGGTGGAGGACCTGCGCCGGGAGTACGCGGCGGTGTTGCACATGGAGTGCCTGGCCGACTCCTTGAAGAAGGGCAGCGCTTCCGCCATCCAGGCGGCCATGTCTGCGTGCAAGGGAGTCGACTTCTATGCCTCGGCCTCCGGCACTGCCACCCGGAAAGAAGAATCAGAGTCCCCTGTAAAGACATATTGGTCCTTGCTGCCTTAACTTTACTGGTCTCATTTTCCGACCTGGTCAAGATCGCAGAGAGTAGCTATAAGAGATGTCCCTCTCTGCGCAGGTTACACAATTAGTGACTTGTTACCAAGTTTCTGCTCTTGAAAGGCACACCAGTCTTCCTTTGATTGCTTTGAAGAAGGTTCCAAGTAGGTCTTGTCAAAAGAGTGGCAAGGGGGACAGGGTGAATTGCACTTACTTGCGAGGTACAGGAAGTTTGTCAATCTTGATTTGCCATGGTTTCCGTGTTTTTCCCCCAGCCCCCCCCCCAAAGCTCCCCAAGGTAAGCATCACCTTCCAGCCGGCCCCCACCAGTGCCAGCTGCGACCTGCCCAAAGCTACAGCGGGCACTGCGGAGTACAAGGCTGCACAGTACCTCCAACTGAAGTCAGTGTGTTTTTGAGGATTAGTTTGAAGCGACGCCAGTCTTTTTGGGGGCCCCTTATTTTAACGCATACCCTAGTTGCCTCGTTTTTTTTTGCTACTTGTTTGATATGTTGTTACGTGTTCAGGCCAAAAGCTTGCGCTTTTTACATTTACATCCCAAAGGCGAACTTTGGGTCTCATCACAAGCCAGGTATGATGCGCTGCCCGCGAACGCCCCCGCGGCCAAATGCGCCTGTTGCACCTGTGACACCCATACGTGTCAGGGCACCAACATGATCCTTAAGTCGAATGCCGAAACCATCACGGGCCAGGATGACGCGACTTGTTGCAGGTTGGACGCCTGCAGCTTCTTTACCTGCACAAGCCCCAACTTGTTCCTGAAACCCCAAGCTGCCGGCATCATCGGTCACGACGAGTCCACCTGCTGCGCCAGCTTTGCTTTGCAGATGTCTTCGTGCAGCGCCACTGGCATGAATGGCCCCATCCAGACTCAATGCGACAACACTTACGGGGCAGAATATGGCGTGAAGGTTGAGCAGGGGGCTCAATTACTGACAGTTCCGGCCACCGGCTTCTACTCTCTCACAGCCAAGGGCTCCAAGGGAGGCGATCATGGGGGAGCCTCTGGGGGTCCGGGTGCTACCGTCAGCAACACCTTTCCATTGGAAGCGAATGACCAGTTGCTGGTTGTGGTAGGTCAGCAAGGCTGGACCAACCCAGCTCATACTGACTGGGGTGGAGGCGGTGGTGGCGCCACATGGGTGGCCAAGGTGGTCAGCGCTGGCGGTGATGATGCTTCAGCCTTCAAGACAGGGCTTCGCGTGGAGACATTGCTGATTGCTGGAGGCGGTGCTGGCCCGAGGGACTCTCTGAATTCTGGCGTCGCCAATGCAGGTCAGGCGCTCGGCGGCACCCCGACTGTGTCCGCTGAGGGTGGGGCAGCTGGTGGTGGGGCGAGCTTGCAGAACGGCGGAAGAGGGGGCAGGGGCGGTAGCCATCCCACCCCTGCGTTGCTCAAAGGAGCAAAGGGAGGTGGGCATGCCCCAGAGCCAAACAGCAAAAACGGAGGCTTCGGTGGCGGTGGAGCTCCTTATGACGGCGGAGGAGGCGGTGGGGGCTACGAAGGCGGAGCTTGCAACATCGGGGGAACGAATAACGACTGCTATGGCGGCACAAGCTTCTCCAGCCGTTCTGGTGCTACCGCACTGGCAGGCGGTAACAATGCGGTGGGAAGCCTCTACGTACAATTCACAACGTAGACAAAAGTCTGACCGACCGTGAGCGGAGTTGGCAAAAGGGCGCAGGTTGTCTCAGTGGGGGTCCAGCTAACTTTGGATACACAAACTGTCGTTTGGTTTTACTATTTTTTCTTTTTAAATTATCTCACAGCAGGGGGTTCCAGGTGCGGGGTTCCGGGTGTGGGCGCATTGGTCTTGCCAGCCGAGGCTCTGCCCGCGCAAGGCTCAGCAGGGCACGGGCGGCCAAAGCGCCGGAAAATTTCCTGGAGGCGTCCGGGGAAGAGGGAGAGACAAATCGGGGCTTTTCTTGCTGGTTCTCCGTAGAATAGGGGTTTTGAACCACAAGGGATGGTTCGGTTCGGAGTCATTTCCTCATTTTTCGCTGAGAACCAGCAAGTTTTCCCTGACCCCCAGAAAGGTTGAAAAGGAATCAACTCAATCTGATGGCTCCAGGCTTTTTTGGGGGGTGCTTTGGTTTCCTTCCTGGGGGAGCGTATGGCCCCTCTGATACGGATGCTGAAACTTGTGGGTGGGGCACACAGAGATGGCGATCAGATGGTACTGGCGCCAAGACCGGAAACGCGGAGTCCTGGAGACTGTCCGCCTGCTCTAATAAGGAGCTGAGGCACTGGTTGCCCCAAAGGATCCCATCAGGATTCGATTCTTGTTCTGGAAAGGGGCAGACCAGGGTGAGGGTCCGCTTCGGGCGCAAGCTGCAAAGGGTGGCGAGAAAAGAGCGGCGAGGCCATGCGCTTGTGGGTTTTGCCTTGCGCAGATTCCAAGCTTGGGATCAGGATGAACCCTGAGGCTCAGATGGACATGGTGATTTACGCGCTCTCGGGTGCAATCAACTGGACATCCCTTGCACATGACGGGGAAGGTGAAACGGTGAAGGCAACAAAAAGAGCGACCGAGACAGAGGGGCCCGAACCTTCCGAGGCACTCTCTGACACGGAGTTCACCGTATCTAAATAGCCTCCCAAAACAGAACAATAACAAGGCATCTACCAAACATGTTCCAGGGTGTTGCGATGGCGCCTTTGTCTATTGGAATCGCACGTCTGTGTTGTAAGAGTTTCCATCATCTGTTTTTTTTTTTTTTCCCGAGTCTTTGCAGCCTTCGTTTTTTGAAGTTTTCGGCACCGGGTGCCCGGGACTCGCGAGCGGTGCCATGCGCATCGCCCACTTCCGGGCGCTGACGGGTGCGGGTAACGCCGGAAGCGCGCCGGTGCTGTACGAGGTACGCGTATTTTGTATTTTGAGCGGCTCACCCTGTTCACCTGCATGTTGGGACGCCCAAAATAGAAAGCCAAAAATCCAGTTTGGCGCTCCGATTTTTTGGATGTGACACAGGTGGTTCTTGGCAGCGACGCCAAGTGCTGGGCCGTGAGGCGTCGGTACCGGGACTTCTACGAGGCGTGTGGGAAACAGCCGTCCGTCGCTTGGGTTCGGAAACCGGTTTTTTGGGGGCCCGGGGGGAGGGGGAGGGCTAGGTGGGGCCGTGATCCAGGTCTTTGGTTGGTAAAAATCTATATGATTGGGAAGGGTGCGGTGAAACTCCATTCAAAATGAAACCTTTGGTCTTGGCTTTGCCACGCGTAGAATCCCTGGAACGGGAATCCAATCTTGGCATTTCGGTACAGAAAGGACGATTTTCCACATGCAGCAGCCATCCAGAAAACATGCGTCGTCCAAGTTGAGATCCAAGAATTAGGCGGAAGGGAAGAGCGAGATGCTCCGAGATGGGCGCTTTTTTTCTTCTTCCTCGGTTTCTACAAACGGCAGGAGAGCACTGGCAAACTAATTCTGGGGCAATCCCTTTAAAAGGAAAACAAGTCGAGTTTCTTTTTAAGCAACCGAGCCCTGGCCTGTGTAAACACTGGGTTTGTGGGAACCTTGGTGGTTACGCCAGGAGTTGAGTTAGACGGTTTGGTTGAAGCCATGCAAGCCCAGGGCCGGACCAGCTCCCGGCTTTTCCCGCCAGGTGCACTGGGCGCTGCATGAGGCGGGCCTCTGCGTGCCGAATCTGCCCCCGAAGGAGCCGCTCTGCCAGAAGGCCGGGGGCGACAGAAACGTTTCTCGAACGGGAGGCCCGTTTTCTCAGTGGCACCGCTTTCAAGCGGTGCTTTTCAGCAATGCAGAAACCTGAACGATACTTTTGATCTCCATTTTCGCGCTTGTTGTCCCAAAAAAAACCTCGAGTGTTTCGCTTCGACGTTTGTCGATCACCTTCCGCTTTGGGCTTCCACGAAAGGTTCCAAGAATGGGGCCGTCCCAACGTACTTTCGGATTCGATCCCAAGGCTTCAACCTTGGGGTTGAAGGGCCTCTCCTGGATTTTCTTGGCCGCTTTCGTAGATTTTGAAGGTCCCTTTGGAAGCGTATGTCGAGAGGTGTTGTTGTTTGCGATTGGTCACGTCGTGTGGTTGGTTCAATTTTGTTTGGCTGACCCGCTTGACGTCCTCTGTTGCTCTTCGGGGTATTTTGTGCCGGTGGAATATGGCTTGCATTTCCTGCTTGTAGCGTTTGGGCACCATGTTGTTTCAGTTTCAAATGCCCTGCCGAGTCTGAGCTTTTGATCCCCATGAGCCGTTCCAAAGGAGCCTCAACCAACCCTAAATCCACCTGAAGCAACCTAAACCAAAGCGATGTCCGCTGTGTTTCCAGGTTTTCGGCCGAGATGAGACGCGCTTGAGGTGGAGGGCGGAGCGGTGCCAGGACTGTTTGCTTCCCGTGAATTGGTTTGGATTGGTTTGGGCTTTGAACCCCAACTCTTTTTGAACTCAAATAGGGATACGGATACCTCCAAATCTCAAGACAAACCACACCGCCACAAAAGAGCAAGTGAAACTGAGGCAAGAAAGTGGCAAGGGTGTCGGTTGTTGAACCACCATTTCTTGGACTTTAGTGGAGAGGCGTTGACTTCTACTTGGATCTTGCCAACGGGTGACAAGGCCTTGTTCTACATACTGTTGCAGACCTGAACGGATTCAGTAAATTCCTTGGACATAGGAGCTTAGGATCTCGTTTCTTTTGCCACACGTGCAACATCGGATGAGAACCGCTGCGTTCCTTTGACACTTCAGAACATCATTTTCCGTGGAACTCTTCAGTGCCCCCGTCTCGCTCCAACCCATGAAAACCGGGCTTTCCAGCCCAAAAACCTTGAGAAGCAATGGGACACCGACGAAACAAACAGGTATCGGGAAGTAAACAACATGTCCGACTCCCATTTTGAGAGCCCCCCCCACATGTGGACTCCGGCGAGTTGGAATTTCCTTTGCCTGGCATTTGCAAGAAAGCCAAGATGGAGAGACACCCCAGGAGCTGCACAATTACCTGGAGCGGCTTTTGGACATCCACCCCGCTCCCGATGTCCAGAGCCCCGCGCCGCTGCGCCGGTTCCTGGCCCTGGACGAGGATGGGACCGTTGCGCATCCGATATTGGAATGCAAAGCAGAACGCGCTTGGAATGAAAGTGGCTCAACCCTGAGGAAAGGCTCGAAGACTCGGTGGACCGGGCGCTTGCCCTGACCGGCGGGGAGACGAAGTTGGAGCAGGACGAGAGGCGCGAGGGGGTGGGTGGGTGGGTGGGTGGGTGGGTGGGTCGGGTGGGTCGGGTGGGTCGGGTGGGTGGGTGGGTGGGTGGGTGGGTGGGTGGGTGGGTGGGTGGATGGTTGCTTGAAGCATGCTTGAAAGCAGGGCTCTTGCCAAGGGCTTGTTCCAATCGCACGCGCCTTGAAGCCTGTCTCAGGTGGCACATGTGGCCACTCCTGCTGGTCCTTGGCAGCCTGGTGCTGTTGGCGCAGTGGGAGTTCAGTGCGCACGAGTGGTCCCTGCTGATTCTGACCTGCCTGTGGGGTAGTCAGAAGTTTGCGGAGCTCGCGGTGAAAGCGCCGGGCCCACCGGCGCCGGAGCAGCCGGACGCGGGATGTGGCGAGCGTGAGTGCGAGGCGGCACGGGAGCGGCCCTTGACGTTGTCAAAGCTTCAGGAGGTGGGCTCCGGAAGGGCGCCTGCGGGCTTCGGGCATTGGTTTCCGGCGGTCGGTTGAGGTTTCGGCGCCCGGTGAAACATCCGCACATCCGCTGAAGGTTTTGTAGGGGATGATGGTGGAAGCAACCCTTTCTGAGTGCGGCAGGAACCGGTATTGCTCCTCTTTTGGAGGCGTTGAATGTCACCTTTTGAGATTTTGGAAAGGACATTTCAAAGAGAGATCCTTTTCTTTGGTTATGTTTTCTCGGTTTGAGGTTTTGTGGCTATGAACTTTGGCTGCAGCCGGACATCCAGGATTGATGGACATCAGGGTGCAACCACTTGAACATCACATTTGTGTGTGTGTGTGTCTTAGATGGTCTGAACAAATCACCTTGAGACTTGGTCGAATTGACTTGATTCTTTAGGTGATGGGAATGGGGAAATGTCGGGTTCGTCCCAGCTTTTAATCGGACCATGTTATAATATCAAGCCCGCAGCATGCTTTTAATGCTTCCAAACTTCCATGCTTCCAAATTTCCCGCCTCAGCTTTTGTTCGGTCCATTTCTTAAAAGGATGTTTCTTGCGTGTCGAGAACTGGGCCCCTCAGGTGAATTTGCACTTCCGGCAGCTGGGCTGTAGCTTCAGCGTGGGCTTCCTGCTGCTGGCGGCGGAGGGCTTTGCGCAGGTGGTGCGCCGGATGGGTGCGCCGCTGCGGCTGGCGGCCCTGGAGGTGGAGAAGAACCACCGGAAGGCCAGCCGAAGTTGGACTTCGGGGCTTCTCGACATCGGATTCGGCGTTGCTGGTGGGACCTTTTGAGAGTGCCATTCTCGCACGACTGCACGCAGGGTTGGCTCACGAACAAAGCTCGCGCCCCGGGCACCCAATGGAGGCCGGGGCTTTCCTTGGGCCTCAGAAAAGAGACGCATAAGCGTGGGCCAAAGCAATGCGATCCATCGGTTGCTGGAGTGCCAGCATGCCACTTACCTCCATCGCACCCCTTGATATGGGTCAGTTTTTCCTTTGGCTCCACTTTACACCACGCCAACACTGACACTCCAAAGCTGCAGACATCCAACTTTGAGTTCCAGGGCAACTTCTACTCGTGTATGCGTTTGCACGGATGTAGAATGGGCGAGTGTGTTGCTCTCGCATTGTCCGCTCGCTTACGAACGCGGACACTCACTCACTTGTGAGCGCGGCGCGGCAACATGCAGCACCTTCTTGACATCGAAATGGTGGACATTCCTTCATTGGCACGGCACGAGGCTGCAAGCATACTTTCTGCAGGGGGCCGGGTTGTTGTCGGCCATAGATGTGGCCGCCCCGGCTTTCGGATCTGGAAATGATTAGCCACTCTGTGTACTTTCCGTGGTTGACATTCGAACACTGCAGGTGTTCCGCGCTTTTCCTAATGTGCGTACTTTCATGTAGCAATTCCCGGACCTTAACGTACTGTTTTCGACTCGGGCTGTGGACATTCCACATTGGCAGCTTTTTAAAAACTCAGTTCCAAAGCAGTGAACATAAAAGTGAGCCCTACGTGTCGTCCAGCTGAGGAGCTGAGCTGTCCGACCCCATCCCCACCCCCCCAATACGCCGCCCACATGTGTCACCAAAAGTTAAACCAGCTTAAATCAGCTCGTTCTCAAAATCAGCGGGCCCCCCACGACGCAAAAGGAAAAGACCATGAGTTGTCCGACCCCACCCCACCCCATACGTATCACTCAGAGTATATAGGCGGTTTAAGTTAGTTTGTTTGATCGTGCTCGTCAGCGAGTCTCTTTCTTTGGCCTCAGTGAGTTTCTTTTTTGTGTAGGTAGAATGCGACACCCTCAAACAAACGCATACATCCAGGTCAGCAAAGATTTTCCCCGCGCCTTTTGCCACGTGTTTTTCCTTGTGGAGGTCGAGGCGCACTGTCGGAATCCCGCGGGCTCCTTCCGCAGCTTTCTGGAGGCGGAGAAGGCGTGGGTTTCCGCCCACCCCGAAAAGGGGGGGGGGGTTGCGGGGGGTTGGGTGCGTGTGTAAGCTATGAAAAGCTGGCCCTTTCTCATTTGCAATTGGCCAACCAGGATCACCTCCATTCTGGCTCTTCGTAGCTTGAATTGGTGGATGGACAGATCAAGAAAGTTTTGGCAGTTTGGATTAGCCCACCAAGCCGCAGTTGAAGCAGCATCCTGAAAACCTTAAGCCAACAAGAAGGAGTGCCAAACTGAATTTCGCAAGCACAGTCTCAGCCATTGAATCCCTTTCCCAATCCATCTACCTGCAGCGCAAGCCAGAACAAATCCCACCTTCAGAGTACCAAAAGGGGAAGGCAAATCAGGCGTACTTGTTTTGCCCCTCTCCAAACAACAAGAGTCCAATGGGGAGATCACCCAAGGCCAGATTATTGTAAATAGACAACTCCCACCACATTCTCTCCTCTTCTTGCACCCTCCGCCCCTTCTGTTTCTTCAAAATCGGGCATCCCTGCCTGTTTTTCACCCCTTTCAACTTTCGGAAATTTAGGAATTTTCCGTAGAACGGAGTCCAACCCAACCGAACATCGCCAACATCGCCGGCCGCCGCAAGATCCACCGCTTCCGCTTCCCTTCACGCAGGCCTCGGGCCGGCACGGGCCCGGCCCAGGCCTGGCGGACGACAGCGGGGCCATGGGCTCCCTGTGGATCCGCCGGACCTGGGAGTTCGTGGCGAAGCTCTTCGAGCGCCACCTGCAGGGACTCACCATGCCGCAGGCGGCCCAGGAGAGCCTTCAAGCGCTTCCTTCAAACCTGTGGTGCAGGTGTTTTTTTTCTTTTTTGATTTTTCCGGTGTTGCGTCTTTGTGTTTTTTTGGTTGGTGATTCTCTGAGTTGGCTTTTTTTTGGTGTTTTGGCAGGCGCAGGTGTGTTTGGCACATTCAATTGTGCCGTGTGTTAAACGATCCTTTATATGAGGGGACTTTGTTCTCTGCAAGGCTTGTTTCCGACCAGAGGCACACAAATCAAGAAAGCACACAGGAGAGAAAGAAACAAAGAAAGAAAGAAAGAAAGAAAGAAAAAATGAAAGAAAGAAAGAAAAGAAAGAAAGAAGGAAGGAAGGAAGGAAAGAAAGAAAGAAAGAAAGAAAGAAAGAAAGAAAGAAAGACAGAAAGAAAGAAATAAAGAAAGAAATACATAAGTCAAGAAAAAAGAAACAAAGAAAAAGAAACACGGAAAGGACATAAAGAAAGACAGAAAGACACATGGAAAAAGGAAGGAAGGCAGGGAATGAAACAACGAGAGTCTAATGAAGGACAATATGAACTTATAAACAAACGCTATTCTTTGTGGGTGCAAGCGTGAGCTATCTTGTTGTGTGGAGAGCATCACTCTGGATGGTTTCGTTTTGGGCGTGTGCGAGGTAGGTCCTACATACAGAATATACATATATATATATATAGATAAATATATATATATATATATATATACACATGCACCCCCCCGGCGATAGATCTACTGTTTGGCTGTTTGAAGGCAATTTTGGAGATGGAAGGCAGTTGCTTTATTTGGAATCCCCTTGCGCCTTGACCAGCATCAGCTCACCATAAGCAAGGAACTCCTCTTCAAATTTGCCAATTCCAATTATGGGTTTGTCTTTGAAAAGGAACTCCTATTTGAATTGTTTTTAAAATTGGAAGGTCTACTATAATTATTTCCGTATTGGATTCCAGTTAATTCTAAATAAGAAGTGGAGAAACAAAATCCCGGGAAGGGACGTTCTCTTTAACATACATATAGATATACACGCACATATACATATAGATATTTGAAGCAATACTCCCAAGTAACAATATTCTTCAAAATGAAAATTATATTCAAATAATTTTAAAATCTAGACATTATATTAGGTGTTGTTCACTTCAATTTCTATTTAAGTTCTATTTAGACAATTGAACAAAATCATCATGGACAAAGACATCTTTTCGAATGTCTAATTGAAATAAGAAATCCAATTTTTTAAAGCCATCTTTAAACAAAACTATGTAAATCCTTTTTACAACTAGAAATTCTATTGGAATGACGTCCTTATTGAAGTCTATTGAACATATTCCAAAAAAACTGCCCGTCATCTAGTTTCAAATATGAACTTTGATTGCACATCTTGTTCGACAAGGAAATTCTATTTAAATTCTCTGCGATGTAGAAACTCTACTAGGGTTTTTTCCTTGTTAAATTCTATTTCAAGTCTAATTAGAAAATTGAACAAACACAGAAATAGAAACGATCCGCTTTAAACTCATCTTTCAGATCTATTTTGAGACACTAATTCAAAATGATTTTTATTATTTTATTCCTTATCAAATACTTTGAATTCCAAGCATAAAATCAAAAGGCAAACAAAAGTGAGTTCATTTGAGCAAACAAATGTTTCCAATGAAAAAATGAACAAACATCTACGAGACATAAGTCCGATTCCGTGAGTCAATAAACCCCAAACCATACACTCTACACCCGTCCTTTCAAAGCTGAGGTTTGGTCAGAAGATGTAAAACAGCAGCTATGTTGGAGCCAACAGCCCGAAAGTAAAAGCGTAAAGTTCTGTAGCCAATGACCCAAAAGTAAGAAAGCAAAAGAAGCAAAAGTCTGGAGCCGATGGCCCAATAGTAAAAAAGGCAAGAAGTAAACCACATTTCTGGAGCCAATTACCCAAAAGTAAATAAACAAAACAACAACGGAAAAAGTAAAACAACACAGCCCATGGTTCTGAAGTAAAATGTTTTGACCATGGACTGAACCATTTCATTTTTTTTTTTTTTTTTTTTTTTAATATTTTTTTTTTAAACCTTGGGGTCATTGGCTCCAGACTTTGGCTTCTTTTGCTTTCTTACTTTGGGGTCATTGGCTCCATACTTTTACTACTTTACGTTTTCACTTTTGGGCCAATGGGTAGTTGTTGTTTTGCATCTTCTGACCAAACCTTAGAAATAGGACAGAGGTAGATCCAAACCGACTGGATTCAAGATTGAATTTAACCTGAAGTTTTCAGATTCTCTTTAACAATGCGCCCTTTTTTGCTCCTTTCCCCGAAGCCCCAAAAAGGGCAGAACCCACTGCACATTCCAGTGAATTATGAAGGAAGGTAGATCCATCCGGGGGTACCATATAACATATATATATATACACTGTTATACAACTTTGATCATGGTGAAAGAACATGTGTCGGCCAAGGCCTGATCTGTGAGTGTCACGTAGTCAAAACGCAGGATCATATGCCAAATCTCGCAGAGTAACGGATGCCATGTGCGTATGTTTCCCACTTTCACTTGTAACAGGCGCGAAGGAAGAGGGGTTGTAGTTCTGATGCCAGGATGCTTCGTTTTAGAGTTCCATATCAGACTCCAGTGCAGTTTTCCACTTGGCGGTCCAAACTTCTCCCAAGCCGACCCCTCCTAGCGGCAGAACGTCTCTCCTGCGGCGCCCACAGAACCCGGCCAGGAGGCCTACGAGCAGACCTTGGGCCGTTTCCACGGCCGGGTGCTGCGCGGAACCTTCGTGCTGGGCATGCGGATGACCTCCAGCCCCCAGGCGCTGTGCCGGTCCCTGGGCGCCTTGCAAATGCAAATGCAACTGCGGGCGGAAGCCCCGCGAAGTCGGCGGGTTGGCGGGAACCGGAACGGCGTATATATATATATATATATATCATACATATATATATATATACACACATTTTTTGGGACAGAGGTTGGCATATCAAGAGGAACCAGAATGATTGTTTTATGGATTTCTGTAGGGATCCCCTTATTCTTAATTACAAAATCAGTTTCTGTGCTAACCTTTAACAGTGCTCCAACAGTATTATCTGAACTCAACTCTCAACACATACAACTCCTTGCTTAACATATTTCCTAATTTAGAAGATGCGCTTGCAATTCCTTTTTTCTTACGCCAGGAAATTGATAAATCTAAATCATTCTCATCTAATGCTTGCTTGCAATCAGAAGCCCCAGCAGATGTGATTGATATTAATTTTAGTATTATTATTTTGGATTCATCTTTTAGAGTATCGCGCAGAATGATTGGTAATTGCATTTATATGGACTAGCAACTTGGCTTATTTTCTTCTATCATTTTCAAAACGCCTGATACGATTTTGCAAATATCTACCTCTAACATTGCAACAATTTGTAGCTTTGCGCTCAAATTGATTATCTCCTTTTTTATGCCTAAATCTAGTATTCGTAGCATTATTCTGAGCATCAAATTCAACAATTACCAAGCTTTGCTTAATCATTTTGGGAAACATGCCTGAATGTTAGATGAACTATTTACATAGTACCAACTATATCCTCGTGAATTATAATCTTTAAAAGATGGACTTCCAAATCCATCTATTATCTTTGGTGAATATTTTGTTTTGTCTCCACACTATTGAGAAATGAACATCATGATTTACCGTACTATATCCATTCTTTTGATACACTATAAACACTTATTTTGGCATACTTTGCTTATATTAAATCATTCAATTTACACATAACGTTGAGTAAACTTCGGCATTACTTCAATCTTTGACTTTGAATTCAATATAGCCACAAAATCATAAGCAGATCCCCTTTGTCTCGATGCCTCAAAGTGGGAGCATTTTTGGGGGATTGATTGGGCAAAGTACTCACGGGTAACCCATGAAGGTGCTTTACTGGGAGATGCCTTAGTTCCATTCCGTGAATTGGAGTAATTTGTCCAGAATGATACGGAGCTCAGCAATTACACTCACAATTCTTCTGCGGTCATGACTGAATTTGGTTTCAAATTACCTCACAACCCCATTCGAAATATCTCTATTCTTGTGTCAGACGTGGGTGTTGAGACGTTTCCTTGTTTGCGTGGTTTAAACATCGCCTTGCACATGTCTATTGACAAGTTCCCTGGCGGGGGGATTGTTTGATGGAGGCAAGGGCTGGAGGGAGGGAACTATCAATCCGGAGGTAGTTTGAGGTCTCCGGAAGGTCCAGAGGAATTGCGTGATAAGCGAACCGTGTCGACCGAAAACTGCGGAGAATGAAGGATCCCCTTTGTTTGGGACTCCTGGACGATGGGCTTTCAGGTTCCAGTCGGTGGCAGGTTCGCGGAGTGCTCCCAGTGGCAAGCCCCACGTTCTTTCCTTTTCTTGTGAAATTCAGCCCCGGAAAGCAGGGTGCTGGGGTGGCTGGGGTGGCTGGGGTGGCTGGGGTGGCTGGGGTGGCTGGGGTGGCTGGCTGGGGTGGGTGGCTTGGGTGGCTTGGGTGGCTGGGGTGGCTGGGGTGGCTGGGGTGGCTGGGGTGGCTGGGGTGGCTGGGGTGGCTGGGGTGGCTGGGTGTCCCAGGTGTGGATGAAGCATCGCTGCGAGAGCAGATGGAAGCCTTTCACAAGCTGGTGTTGCCGATCTGCGAACAGATGCGGACTGTGAGCGTTGAACTCGATTTGGAGGACACCCGGCGGGTGTGACTTTTAGGAGCTGAATGGGTCCCCCCGCTGCAAACTGGCAGCTCGGAGGACCAGCTTTGTACATATGCCAGCAGCTTTGAGAGTTGGTGGTGGAAGAGGCGTAGGGTGCTTTCTATTCACATCCGTGCAGCTGAGCATTTGCACTGCAATGGTGTTCCAAACGACGACTGTTGAGCGACCGCCGATGCGCAGAGACGCCCACAACGTGCGCGCCGCAGCCACATGCTTTGAGCGCTGGGCAAATTTCGCGCTTTCCGCTGAGCTGAGGGCCGCATCCTAAGTTGTCAGACAGCATTGTCATGGGCCCAAGGGAGCCTGTGAGTCATCAGGAAAACCTTGGGCTTGCGGCTTTTGGTGGACATTCAGATTTCCATTGGGCACATGACGTTGACTTTTGTGGGGTGACAGAATACAATCACCTGTGGTTGCGGCTCGGTGGGCGAGGTGCCAGAAGTGCCAGAACCACTGCGCTATTAGCACGACCTAGCAAGGCCTGCAGCAAGGGGGATGTGCAAGAACAAGAACTCGTGCCACGAAATCGAAGGTCGTCATTTGAAGATCTTAGAATCTTGAAGCAAAGGCACCCGCTCACCCGATCCCGGGTGCCCTTGGTGTTGGCCCATCCTGATAGGTTGGAAGCAAAAGGCAACTCTCAGCCGCGCTCTTGGTGACGTCTGCAACATGCATATTCCTATGAGCAAAGGGAAAACCGAGCGAACGCATTTGCACACATTGTTTTGCTCAGCACCAATGAGAATCTGATTGATTCATAGGATGTGTGGTTTTGATCGGGGCCACTCTAAAGCATGGCTGGACATAACCCCCAAATAAAGAGGATGCCCCGGCGCGGGGGTCTCCAAATCAGAGTCCCACAGCGCATGTCTGCAGGTCTGAAAGTTCAGTGAAGGCACGGCCGGGGGAGCGGGATCAAGCAAACTGCTGGCACCACACATTCTCTACACGCTCAATGGTTTGGACCTTTGCCCAAAGAGCAATGGACCGAACTTCCCCCACTTGCTTGCCAGGCACAATGCCCGACTCGGGCGCGAAGATCGTGGGCGCTGTTGGCACGGCGTCCATGGCGCTGGCGTATTGGTACTGGCGGCGCCGAGTCATGCCCATTGGCCCGTGTGTTGCAGATGTGCGGCCACTAGCCATTGGTGACCAGCAGGTCATGCTCCGCGGCAACGGTCTCACACGCTATCACCTCAACGTTCAATGGCTCAGAGAGGGTGAAGGCATTGTCGTGCTGATTCACGGCATGACGAGCCCTGGCGTCGATGTGTGGAGGTCGCTCATTGCGTGCCTGGAGGCACGCGGCCGCTGCGTCCTCGCCTACGACGTGGCTGGACGAGGGTGGTCGCACTGCAGTGGCGGACCGATGACACTGGATTACCACGTGCGGCAGCTCGAGGAGCTCCTCGACGCACTCTCCTGCAGTGATCGAGCGTTGGACCTGATCGGACTCAGTTTCGGTGCTGTGATCGCCTCCAACTTTGCCGTCCGCCACCGTGATCGTGTGCGCCGGTTGGTGATGCTTGCTCCTGCAGGCCTTTTCCCAACGGGGCAGGACTATCTTGGCCCTCTGTCGGGCAGCGGCTGGCGCGCAGTACTCGCACGCCTGCGATGGGCAGCGCGGTGCCGCTCGTCGCTGAAAAGGGATTACGCCCACGAGCTGCGAGCCATGAAGGACGGTGCTGTGCTTCGCGCATACTGCGCCAACGCCGACTGCAACCGCGCGCTCGTGCGCACCTACCTCTCCACCCTCCTCTGCTGCCCGGAGTTGTTCGACAACCGCCGCGCCCTCCGCACGCTTGGCAGCTTCACAAGTTGCAAGACCCTGCTCCTCTTTGCCACGCATGATAGCGCGACTGGTCCGCCACCCGACGACGAGGAGCTGCGTGAGCTGCTGCCGAGCGCGTCCTGGCACAAGCTCGACGCGCCAGGGCTGGACCACGCGCCGCACCTCACACACCCCGCCCTCGTCGAGCCGCTGATCGCTGACTTTGTTGCTGGCGATAGAGACACGCACCGTCAGCCGGCTGTACTCTGAGTTCATATTTTGGTGCTATCTTGATGTTCTTTCTTCGCTTGCGCTTTCGTTGGTCGTGCGGCATCGCTTGATCCTATGCGAGCTGAGCCCTTCAAGGTGTGGATGCAGCGCAGCAAGAGCAGACGGAAGCCTTTCACAAGCTGGTGTTTCTGCGCTGCGAGCAGCTGAGAATGTGCGCGTTGAGCTCGACTTGGAGGACACAAGGTTTTCAAAAGTGTCACTTTTGGGAGCTGAAGCCCTTGCACAGTGGCAATTCCGAGGCTCGGCCTTGTAGATATGTCAGCAGCTTTGAGATTGGTCGGCGGAAAAGACGCACAAAAAAGATGTTTGTGTGCAGCTGTGTTACTGAGCAGCTTGGCCTTTGAAGTTTGGACTGCAATGGTGGCCGGAGGATCGACACGTCGCAGAAGCAATTGGTCGACCAAGCGCCACTGTGAAGAGATGCCTAAACCGTGCGCGCCGCAGCCATTTGCTTTGAGCGCTGGGAAGCTATGGCGCTTTCCGCAGAGCTGAGTGCCACATCCTGAGCTCGCAGCTGGCATGTCACCGCACCCAACGAGGCATCAGGAAAAGCTTGGCCTTGCGGCTTTTGGTGCGTTCAGAATTTGAAAAGGCACATAGTCTCCTGTGGAGTCCTTTTCAGAGCCCCAAGTGACACGTCTTTGCTGCTGGCTTTAGTGGTTGCTGATCCCTTAGGACTCTCAGCGGCCGAATCTGCCGGGGCACTCAGACTGTCAGATGGACGGTTTCTGCTGTTTGGATCAGTCGGGTCGCCCGAGGTGCCAGAACTACGTCTACAAGGGCCGTTGCGGCTTTGCCTCCTGCCGCTATCAGCACGACGACCTCGCAAGGCGGGGGCAAGGGATTGATCAACCGAGGCCGCGACAGCGAAGCGCGTCACTTGAGCTTGGAATGTTGAAGCAAAGGCGCTCGGTCACTCCGTTGTTGTGGGCGGGGGGCTTCGTTTTGGCCAACCCGGGTAGGCTGGAAGCAAAGGGAAAGCCGACTCCAAGCAGAAGCACCAGCAGCAGTCAGTGGCCGGGCTCTTGGTGCCTACGAATTTTGTTGCATGAGCCAAGGGATCTAAAAATCGACATTACCGGGACACGTGGAGGCTGGTTGATTATTAGGAATATGTTTTTTTGAGGGAGCACATCTAAGGTTCATCAATCCAAAATCGACAAAAGGGCTCCTTTGCCAGGTTCCATGAGCGAGGGACATTAATCCGCCTGGCTTTCTGATGTCCAGATGGGTTCCAATTCAGATCTCGGATCGCTTGCGCCGAGGGACAATCATGTGCGCAAGCCACAAACCCCTCCCCCATTAATAGACATTGTTTCTTGGGAAACCATATTTCTCAATCGGGTCGCTCGGGGTCTCAGTGGGGAGGTGTGCACTACGGTCCTCGTCCAGATGGGGTCCCCCGCTTTGCCGGGCCAAAAAAGCGTAATCCGCCGCGTAAGGAATCTCATATGGAATTGCTCAAAGCGCTTTTTCGGATTTGCCAATTCAAATTTGCGGGCGGAATTGAAATGGCAATTTACAATTAAAAGAAGGGAACGTACCCCCCGAATAATGGCTGTCAGAAGAGCCTAATTTTTGGACCTACCTGGCCAGACCGGCACCCATGATTTTCCTTTTTATCGAGTTGGTTTCAGTTCTGGCCGTGATGGCATGTGGCGCACCAGGAGTTTTGCACAGAAGTCACAGAAGCGAGGGCAAGAAGACCAGCGGCAAACACACAAAACATGAAGTCCTTATGTTGTCGCAGTCTTTCTCATCAGGTCCGAAAGCTCTGCAGCGAAGGCCAGCGGATGTGCCATTCGTGATGTGCCGTCGCATAGCCAATACACTCATACAAACAGACGCGCGCAGAGTGTCAAAGAATCGCCATTGCCTCGTGCCAGGATCCTCGCTTTGAAGCAATCTATAAAGTCTTTTGAGGGTACATGTTCGAGCTTGGTTGAGGGAAACCAGAGGCGAGGGACAACCGGTTTTATGAGGTGCCCCTTGTGACATACCCATACATATGTGTGAAGCTTGATTTGAGGGCGTTCGCCTTGTCTGGCAGGGCCCGCCGGCCAGTATCCGCTTCTTGCTGGAAGGAGAGTGTCTTGGCTTAGAGCTGAAGTGGCACTTCTGGTTCAATGCCAAAAGAGGATTTGGCCGACCCTTCCAACACGAGGGCGTGTGCTTTTTTGAGCCTTGGTACGCTCGTCACCCGGGTTTCCATGGAATGCCTCCATATGTCAAGATGTCACATACCCAACAAGACAAGCTGTCGCCTTGCTGCAGATGTCGAGGGCTTTGACCGCTTGGCAGGTCCATCCGCTCGAACCCATACCTGAAAGAGGCAGCCGATTACAACGCCGAGACAGCGGTGGGACTCCTGGTTGGGCTGGTTTCAAACGGACAACAAGGGACACACCACCATTTTGTGGGTCCCCGAAAAAAAAAGAAAGAGACAGTCTCACAAATGGATGGGTACTCTCACAAAAGACACCCCATATAGCAGCGAAAACATCAAACTGAGGATCCTGGTTGATAGGCCGATGGCAGAATCCAAGCGGCTTCTGTGTCCCAGCAGGAAGCGCAGACTACTGAGCTTGAGTCCGGAAGACTTGCTCCTTTCCCCCTAAGAGGGTCCCCCAAAATATCAACATGGGTATGTGTTAAACTAGGAAAGCCTTAAAAACATGCTGGCTTCCTTTTCGTGTCTCTTTGAACTGAGCCTAAACCGGGTGCCCTCAAAAACACATCCACATTATCTCGTTCCGTCAGTGATTCGCTGCAGTTTGCCGCTGCATCCTGGCTGCCGCGCCTTGTGGCAGCGCCGAGTGCTCGGCTCGTTATGGAGGGTCCTTGGTGCAGAGGCTTCAGGGGGGTTCTGCTGTTCCCCTCCCTCCAAGCCGGCTTTGGGACGTAAACCAAAAGGAAGAAAGGGAAGCGAGAAATGGAGAGGCTGGGACAGGCTGGGCCACTGGGCAATTGAGGGACAGCGGGAAGCCCAAACGCTGTTGCTTCAGGCCGGAGTGCAGCAAGCTCTTCAATGTGCAGGGCAAGCGCCTGCGGAAGGAGCTTACTGAGGCGAGGGACCGAGGGACCGAGGGACTGCTGGAAAGGGATGGTCAGGCGTCAGGGTTTGGCTGCTGCCAAAAAGCGAAACCAACCGGTCGGAATATGTCAGAATGGGCTGTATCCTTTTGGTAAGAGGGCCGCCCCCCCATATTTTTCGAATGTCATTCATTGGTGTGTTGAACGGAAAGATGTGCAGTTGCAAGATGCATGAGTGCGCAGAGCACGAGCGGCAGCTTTAAATGAGGAACCGATGGCGTTTTGCCCGATCCGCGTATGCCCACAGGCTACACAGGGCCCTCACGTGTCATTTGGTAGGAGAAAGCATACTTGTGGTCGGCCAAGTTGGTAGGTTGTTGGTAGCTTTGGTCATAACCCATTTATAGCTCCCCCTCAGCAGAATTATAGAACCTTGCCATTGGTTGGTTATCACCCAAGCCAGTAACCAATAATTTGGCAGACCGTCCAAGTACGTCTTTCATAGTAAAGAAGCCAGCTACAGGAATTTCTACCGGAAGTTGGCCACCCACCAGGGATTTCCCGCAGAATGCCCAGCTCAGGCCTTTGGCCTGCTGCACGCCTGCGGCAAGGCGTTGCGCAAGCTCCGCGCGGAGGGCCACCGCCGGGGCGCCCAGAAGCTCGCCGCTCGCCGCTCGGGCGGGAGCCGTTTTTTTTGCGGCCAACGTGTTGGGTTGTTGGCGCCCTGTGTCTTTCTGGGCTGGATTTGAAGCAAGGGGAAGATCCCTTGGTCCAGGAAAGGCGCCAAGCATGGATGGAAAATTGATTTAGCACTAGATGACGTGCCGTTGAAACAAGCTACTTTTGCCCAGGAACTGCATTCCGTGTGTTCTACCTGGAATCATCCCTTCTACCCGACAAAGCGACATCGCGCTGAAGTCATGGCTATTGTCCCTCCTGAACAGCTCAAACATACATCCGGGTGCTTGCTGATCTTGGATTGGGACTGGGCTTTCGAGGCGTCACCATCGTGGACCTTTGCTGTGGCAAGGGCTTCAGCAGCCTGGTCCCAGCCTTGACCGGCGGAATGGTCAAACATGCGCCGGTTTTCTTTTTGAAAGCACATGGAACCCAAAGGGATCCCCCAAGCAGGAATTTGCTCCCAAAGGAATTCGCTGAATTTCGCGGGTTGCAAGTGACTCCGGAGTCTGGAGCGCATGTTTTTCGGCCAAAATCCTCAGGTCCTGGCCTGCTCCTTCCCGGAGGCACAGGTCCTCGCGGTGGATCGCAACGCGCACATGGACGCGGCTCTCGTCGCGTCGAGAGCTTTGCTTCGGTTCGAGGTGTTGCCAAGGTTTGTATCTGAAGTGACGCGTCGGTGCAGCAAATTGGCCAGAAGGGACATTTATCCTGGGCAGAAGCGGGACAGGGATCAACTATGTCCCGTTGCGATGCAGGACCTGTCTCACTTTAACTTGTGCGAGAACCTGAGTTTCCGGCACTTGGACCTGGCCCCTTCCTCAGCATTGATGAATGCAGCGAGGCGAATCGGAGTTGCGTGGGCCATGAAACATGGTGGGTCCCTTGCGCGAGCCGTCTTGGTGCTGTGTGGCCCACCCGAAACCCCAACCCACCCTACGCACCATTTGCCCATTCTGGTACCGACCCTCCAAGAAGAAAGGAACGCCCCATCTACACTAATTCCGGCCCAAATCTAGCCCGTCCCCTTCGACTCCTGTGCCAAGGAGTCGTCCAGCCTGGCCCCGGACTGTGCGGCCGCCTCAAAACTTGGACTCGGTTCTGCAGAAACCGTACTTTCCCTGGCATGGAGCCCCAGAAAGAGATTAACGGGGAGGCCCCAAAAAGCGATGTTTCATGAAACCCGAAAAAAAAACATCATCTCCAGCGGAGGTCTCACTCCTTTGGCAGGAACCCTTTTTTGGGTTCCTGGATTAGTCAACCTGACGGACCAGCCTGGGGTTTGGCATCAAGTTGCGCAGTGCTTGTGTTGGTGCTGAGGCTCAGATGCTTCTGGATTCTGCGCTGCAAGCCTAGACTCTGCGCGAGATGCATTTTGACGTATTAATGACAGGCAAGTACAGACAAACACAAGCACAATCACTGACAAACGAAGCCGCAAACAAGCAACCACTCAAACAAAGAAACATGCGAAACAAACAAGGCAGGCAAAGCAATAAAACAAACACACCAAACAAACAACACAAACACAACAAACACGCAACCAAACAAACACCAAACAGAGCAAACACAACACATAGAACAAACAAACAAGCGAACAAACAAAAGCAAGCAAGCAAGCAAGCAAGCAAGCAAGCAAGCAAGCAAGCAAGCAAGCAAGCAAGCAAGCAAGCAAGCAAGCAAGCAAGCAAGCAAGCAAGCAAGCAAGCAAGCAAGCAAGCAAGCAAGCAAGCAAGCAAGCAAGCAAGCAAGCAAGCAAGCAAGCAAGCAAGCAAGCAAGCAAGCAAGCAAGCAAGCAAGCAAGCAAGCAAGCAAGCAAGCAAGCAAGCAAGCAAGCAAGCAAGCAAGCAAGCAAGCAAGCAAGCAAGCAAGCAAGCAAGCAAGCAAGCAAGCAAGCAAGCAAGCAAGCAAGCAAGCAAGCAAGCAAGCAAGCAAGCAAGCAAGCAAGCAAGCAAGCAAGCAAGCAAGCAAGCAAGCAAGCAAGCAAGCAAGCAAGCAAGCAAGCAAGCAAGCAAGCAAGCAAGCAAGCAAGCAAGCAAGCAAGCAAGCAAGCAAGCAAGCAAGCAAGCAAGCAAGCAAGCAAGCAAGCAAGCAAGCAAGCAAGCAAGCATGCACCCACAAACAACGCCGCGCACCCAAACGCATTGCAAATCCGCATGCGCCTCCAACACTTGCTCTCTTGCCTTGAGCACTCTCCTAGCTGCGAGCTTTGGGAAAGAGCCGAGGCCGCCGGGGGCCGGGCCTGGCCGGCCTGGGCTTCTACTGCTGGTTGGTGTCCACCTGTGTGGCATGCTCTCCGTGCGCGCCATCCAACTCTTCGCAGCCGCCGCGGGGCCAGCGGCGCTGGTCTTGGCGCCCTGCTGCTTGGACAAGCGCCTGCCAGGCGGGTGGGGGGGTGGGGAGAGTCTGGCAGTCTCGGGGTAGGCATGGTAGGGGTCCTCATGGCAAGAGGACTTTGGCGAAGAGCTTTCACTTTCGCTTGTAACGCAAACAAGCGCGGGGCGCAAAGAGCAACTGGCTTGCAAGTGAAGCATGAGAGGCGTCAAGCGGCGTGCGAAGCGCTTGGGTGTCAACCCGTACACGTTTTGGTGCCTCAGCCTGCTCTTTGAGGACGGTGTGCTGCGTGTTTCTTGGAACTCCAAGCAGAAGCACCCTGAGGGAGCATGACATGCTTGCCACACATGTCTCTACACAAGAGCCAAAATTTGCAAAATGGCCGTGGACTTGGTGTGGGCTGCGTAGAGGAGCTGCCCAGCTGCCGTCGGGAGCCCAGAGCCAGCGGAAAGCGGACAGGGCTGTTTGGCTCGCTCAGGGCTCAGGTCCTTTTGGCCACGAGCCGAGGACGGGAGCTGTTCCAGGACGACGACGTCCTCTCGGAGCGGAACTCCTTCATCCTGGCGGTCAAGTAGGGTTCAAGGCAATCGCCTCTTCGTCGCGTTGCCGAGGGGAGTTGCGTGCCGAAAGAGCATGGGGCCGACGTGCTTGCAGCCCGTGTGCTGCAAGATATGGGCACACACGTAATATGGATGCCCGCGATGGTGTGCCCGGTGTGCAGGTTCTTGATGACTGGACCTTGCTGTCAGAGTGGCACCAAGGCACGGCGTTTGCCAACCGTGACGCCAAGCGCAACCAGCGCAACAAGAGTAGCAAGAGCTATCCCAGCTCCGCCTCAACCTGCGATAGCGATGGTCTCAGCGGTGGCAGCACCAGTGACGGTTCCAACGACAGCTTCCGCTTCATCAATGGGACTGTACGCCCTCCCCCTGGCCTGGAGCATTCGGGCCAATGTTGAGTGCCGAATGTCACCAACGGCCTTAACCAGTTACTCCCAATGCACAGGGAAAGAGCGACACGACGAGAATGGCTTTGCTGCAATGTTGAGGAGTTTTCTTGCTGTGACCCACAAAGACTTTGAGTTTGTGATCTTCGGCCGGAAAGGAATCAACAGAAGAGAATCTCCGAGTCAGCAGACTCCAAGGCTCTCATGGGAGAGGGCAGCTGCTAAAAGGAGCAAGAGGGACAGCCGCTGCGCACTCCGTGCGGTTTTGGAGCTGATGGATGGCCAAAGTTGGCTCACGCCCTGGTGCACCTTCCGGGAGAGTCAGAGAGTCAGGAAGACTTCTTTTGCAGTTCCTGCACATTCGAGAAGAAAAGGTCCTCATACTTGTGCTGCGTGCTGTTCATGCGTGGTGCGGTGTGCCTTTGTTTAGTTTTATCCGTGAAGCCGCTGCATGTTAGCCGAGAGCAGATCAGCATCTTTTGAGTTCAGCAGCTCAATCTTTTTTGCATGGTTGCCTTGTGCGGCACCCACACACACACACACCCACACCCACCGCACAGCTGTTTGCACCCCTGTCAACCAGCTGCAGAGAAAGGAGATGCCGCGCTGCACCCTAGACTTACACTCCCCTGATGGGCACACCCAGCAGATACCCCCAACAGATACCCCGTACCCTGAGGCAGATGGGGCTGTTTCAAAAAGAGGAGATCTCAAAATGGTTGGTTTCCTCTTGGTTTCCCTTTGAAACCAACCAAAAGGTTTGTTTCTCCAAAAAGGACCCAGATACTTTGAGCAGATTCTTTGGCGATGTTTGCCCGGAGCCGGGTGTTCATGCACATCAGTGCATTCGCCTCCTGAGGCTGGTGCTGCGGTTGCTAGGAGTCAGGTTGCCAACTTCGTGCTCGGGGCCAATGCGCAAGAACATAGATGGCCGTTTGGCAAACTTGGGAGGAACGCACCCGTTTGTTGCAGTCCCAGCTTGGAGAGGTCTGCGGGCACCATTGGCAGGTCATGTCGCTGCGGCTGCTGCAGAAGGCCAGTTGACTGACATGAGGCGGAGGCAACTGCACGAATGATTTTGTGATCATGTTACAACACGTGGAGAACAGATGGTCATTGTGCAACGCGTAGAGGTAAACATGGGGATCTTTTGCATCATTGTCCCCCTCCCTTTGCCTTCGCCCGTTTGCGAGGATGGCTCTCCATGAATGTGTTTCCTTACATAAATGTCTGGCCCAAACTTATTGCCCCTTCAGAACGCCTGGAAGTTTGACTCAGGGTTCGACTCGGGCCACGATCGTGAGATATGGTTCGGGGTCCGCTTCGCAAAAAGTCCAGCTCGTGTTGGCTTGTGCATTGTTGCTGGTCTTGTAAACCAGTCCCAGAGTGATGTGTGGTAAGGGAAGCTGCTGGTTGGTGTACGATTCGGGTCTGATTGAGGGTATGTGTGGGAACCAGGGTGCGTGCGAACCGTAGTCAACGGAATCCATGGAAGCCGCTGGAATATATCATTGGTTTGAGGTCAAGGAAATCAATCATTGGGGTGATACAACTGAAGTTCTGGTGTGTTCTTGAAATTACCTCTTCCCACGAGATGGGAGGCGGCAACCTCGGATGGAGGGACGGCGGCTTGGTCGGCAACCAGCGCAGGAGGGGGCCCTTTCCTTGTGATATGGGTATGCCTCCTTTGAGGATACCCCCAAACGAGGGTTTCTTAATGGGAAGCCAAACGGAAACCACCCAATTCAAGGTTCCCCTATTTGGAGTTTGGAGAAAAAGAACAGTTGGGCTCACCGACAGTTGTGCAAGAAACAGCAAGTCCAGTTGGAGAAGCAGAGACATTCGCAGTGAAGACGGCCGCAATTTCTTAAAGACCCCGAAGACTGTTGCTTCCCTCTGAGGCTTTCTTTAAAAACACTGCGCCCCGCAGGGTACCTTTTGACTTTCCATACATACAATTGGAGTCTCTCTCGAATGGCTGGACATACATCCAACCATGTATTTCTGATGTTCATCAATGGGGTCCACCCGATTATCACACAGACTCACCCACGTGAGCCACAATCAAAACCCTTTTTAATCCCTCACACGGTTCTGGGTAGACCATTTTTTTTGTACAAGGTTTTGATTTTGACCCAAGTGTGTGCTTGGTGGCCCAGCCATCCCCTTAGCTTTTTAGCCTTTTAGTGTTTAGTGGTAGTTTCCATTTGACCCACTAAAAGTTAGTCACTTTTAGCGGGGGATCTGAGGGCAGCCCAGTGCGTGTGTGTGTGTGTCACATGGCGGTGGGTCAAAAAACAGGTACCCAAAATGGCTTGCCCTGGCAAGTGGAGGCATGGACCAAAACCTGCTGTCCAATTGGAGGATTCATTTTGACCCATCACATGGCTAGCAACTTGGGGCTTTTGCAAAGCGAGGCCAGAGGCAAGGGCCGGGCCCGCGGCGCCAAGCGCGGTATGGCCATGAGCCTGCAGCAGTTCCACGAGCGAACGCCTCGGTGGGCGCGGCGCGCAAAATCCCAGGGCCGTGGGTTCGGTCCCTTCCTAGTTTCATGAGGCGAGAACGGGCTAAGGCTTTACATTTGTAGAGAGAACCATGTTGGTAGAAACAGAATCAAGGTAGTCTTCCCAAGGCGGCCTGCAAACTTCTATGTTTGTTGGTACTCGCGGCGGAAGCTTGAATTTGCCAAAGCCAGTGAGGGTGAGCATGCCCGCAATGGATGGCTTCCTTTCGATTTCCCCTTGAGCCCCAAGAAGGCGTGCCGGACGGGTGCGGGGGAGGCGCCCTTGCGGCTTCCAAGTTGGATGGATCCTTCCGCTTCACTGGATCCACTCTCCGGTAGATCCCGGTAGATGAAAAGGGGCTCTGCGCTTGGATTTCTTTGGGTTTGTCTCTCAACATACGGAGCCCCTTTGTGGTCTTGAAGTGCAATGGAAGCCAAGCAGCTATAGGGGTCCGTTTAAAGAAAAGCCCTGTTTTTTTTTTTTTTAAAGATATTGATTCTGACTCGGCAATTCTCCTGGCACCGGGGGAGTCGGAAGTCTTGGAAGGCATGTGGGTTTGCCTCAATCGAGACGGACCCTCTTGAACATGGCTGCTTTCCTCTTGAAAGCCCCTGGATAGGTCGTTCTCCATTGGATTCCCTTTAAACCAACGCCAAGATTGGGCACCCCATGTCGGCTGGCAAGGCAGACGCCCACTCCCAGCACCAGCTCCAAGTCTGCGTGGGGCAAAGGCCGAGCGGAGAGATGGCGGTGCGCAACCAGCTTGGTTTAGCAGGAGGCCCACAGGAAAACGATCATTGTGGTGCCCCTTTACATGCCCACATTGGTGCTTGGTACTTGGTTGCTCTTTGGTTTCACGGATGGTTGCGGGCCTCATGTGGTGTTACTGGCCTTGGAGAAAGCAGGGTGCTCGTGGAGGGGTTCCCAAAGTTATATTGACACATGTGCCCAAGCGAATCCCGCAACGAGACAAAGCGTAGAGATCGTGACTTTTCTACACTGGTCTCACAGAAAGGGTTGAAGTGCAGCGTGGTAGCCGTTGTTGCTAAGATACTCTTCTAGACTGCAAATATCAAAGGTGTGTATGGGTCATTTCATGACCCCATCAGATTGTTACTCAACACGCCTTCGGATTTTTTATTCAGTGGCCCCGTTGTTGTACAGAGAGTCTTTCGGCGAACTTTTCGATCATTTCCAGGAAGTCTTCTTCTGAACCTTTCCTGGGGATGGAGTTAAGGCCCCTTTACTTTCTTCCCTGAGGAGTCAAATTGGGTATGCCCTTTTGCGGCTAGCCTTCTTTTCTTGGCTTTTGTTCAAGGCTACAGAAAGGGTAGCCTCTAAAACACACACAAACACACACACACCATGTGTTTTTGAGGGTCCGTTTTCAGGTTGTTACAAAGGGAAAATAGAAGGAAACCAACCACCTGAGGGGGTCCCTAATTGCGAACACCCAAACCGATCCAAGGGCAGCTTTGATCCGGACCCAAGTTCCAGGCGCCTCTCGCACCTGCACCTGGGCGGCAGAGGACGGATGACTCTGTAATGGCAAGCTCATTTGAGAGGAAAGGTATTGAAGCAGAGTCCCACCAAAATATTTGCCCTCTTGATTCTTTGCATAGGTGGAGTACTGTAGGCTTTGATTCCCAATCACCTGGGAATGAGCGGCTGACGAGACGACGGCGACAAAACATCCAAGTGGTCATGGTTGTAGACACGACATGTGTGTTGTGTGTGTGTGTGTGTGTGTGTGGGTGTGGGTGTGCGTGTGCGTGTGCGTGTGCGTTTGCGTGTGCGTGCGTGCGTGTGTGGGGGCTTCTTCGTGCATGCGCAGGCACACGCGCACGCGGGCGCACGCGAACCCTCGCGCGCACGCGTAAACGCACATTCAAACATGCACATCGCGAACCTGCGCTGCGCACGCACGCACGCACGCACCCACCGCACGCACCCACCGCACGTTCCCCCCCACCCCCCCACCCCGCACGCGAGAGCCCGCCCAGCCGCCCGCTCGCCCGCCCACATCCACACACACACACAGACACCCATGTTTGACACACTGCATTTTCGCTTTGGCCAGGATCCTCCAGCCGGGTGCAAGAGCACTGGCCAGGGCCTAGGTTAGGTGTATGCAGGCGAAGGGCAGGAAACAGTCTCCCCGTATTCCGGCGGAATGCATCAAAGGGCTTATTTCCGCACATCAACATGGAACCCACACAACCATCATTTTTGGAGGAATCTTCCCCTTTTTGGATTCCGTGTTAATTTGCAGGGGAGTGAACAGCCAGACATGGGGAACACTGACACTGGTTGAGGTCAGCCCAGACCCTCTGCTTGGATGACAGGCACGGCTGGAGTGGTTCATTGGGATCTCTGTGCAGTGGGACCCCCTTTTTCCCCTTTGTTGCTGGTACTAGTACCGAAAAATACCCCACGCCCATATTGAGCCCGTTGGGCCCGGGGGATCGATCCGCAGGTCCACCGTCCTCGGCAGTCGACAACTTGTGGGATGCGGCCCCAGCAGTTGAAGAGTTGGCCGAGGACCTCGCGTGGCTTCGCTCTCTCGCGGCCTCCTTTCGCTCCCTTCGAAGAAGCTGCGTGCGCGTTCCGCGTTGCGGAACGGGTTCGAAGCTCGGCTTGGCGCCCGTGCCGCTCGCCCCGAATGCGAGGACCTGTGGCAAGCCGATCCGCCGAGCGCGGGCCCGGAGTGGGGCGAGGCGGAGCCGCTGGAGGCGGAGATATCGTAGGGCGTGTTGGCGGACCCGCATTAGTCTTGGTAGTCTGGGTCTGTCTCAAAACAGGGGACCCCTTAAAACGGTGGGTTTCCTTTCAGAAAGGGATCCGCTATTTTGAGAAACACCCATATATGGCGAACATGATTCTGGACAGGGGACCTTTTGAAGAGGATGGTTGTCTTCCAAAACCATCCTGTCCACCTCCATCATTGTTTGGAGTAACATGGGGTTGTTGCGTTGTCTAGTGATCGGATGGGATAGTGCCCGCTGACAGCGTCGGACCGAGCTTTTCGAAGAACAATCTCGCCGTTTCGTTGTATGTTCTGGCATTATCAGAGTTTGTGCTTGGAAGTGCCTTTCTCGAGGGTATGCCCCTTTCATCGGTATTTACAGGGAAGCAAAAAGGGAGCCAGCCATTTTGCGGGGCCATGCCCTTTTTTGTGTCAGTTGGAGCCGCCTTGCATCAGGTGCCGGAGGAGCAGGCTGAGCCCGAAGTGGCCGAGCCCGAAGTGGCCGAGCCCGACGTGGCCGAGCCCGACGCGGCCGAGCCCGACGTGGCCGAACCCAAAGTGGCCGAAGTTGACGACGAAGCTGCTGAAGAAGAAACTGAGGAGCGCGAGTGCCACAAAGGGGCAGGTGTTCCGGTCAGCAGTTCGCTCATGGCCGCTACGTTAGGGTTGTTCGTGACCGCCAAGACCTCGCGGCAGGCTGGCTTGGTGGCAAACGGCGTTTTCCCTCCCCCACAGCCCCAACCCCCTGTCCACATCCCGCTCAATTCGTGTAGCTACACGGCAGGTGCTCAGGTCTTGCTGTCACAAATCACCGCCAGGGCTCTGCTGGGAAAGCCTCAGCGACTGTGGAAAGGTTTTGGTTTGCGACCTCGCCCAAGATCGAAAGTTCCTTTTACAGGGGAACGCTTGTTTCGAATTTCAAGTTGGTGAACTATTCTGTAACAAACCCGTCTCAGTGACACACACACACACACACGCACGCACGCACGCACGCACGCACGCACGCACGCACGCACCCACGCACGCACGCACCCACGCACGCACGCCCCCACGCCCCCACGCACCCAAACGCACCCAAACGCACCCAAACGCACCCACACGCACCCACACGCACCCACACACGCACCCACACACGCACCCACACACGCACCCACACACGCACCCACACACGCACCCACACACGCACCCACACACGCACCCACACACGCACCCACACACGCACCCACACACGCACCCACACACGCACCCACACACGCACCCACACACGCACCCACACACGCACCCACACACGCACCCACACAAGCACCCACACAAGCACCCACACACGAACACACACACACACACACACACACACACACACACACACACACACACACACACACACACACACACACACAAACACCCACACACACACACACACACACACACACACACACACACACACACACACACACACACACACACACACACACACACACACACACACACACACACACACACACACACACACACACACACACGCACACGCACACGCACACGC